GGGGGGGGGTAGTGTTAGGAATTTTCTCGACGTTCCTTACCGCATCCTGCAACATCACGTACAGCAGCAGCCATTGTTCGCCCGTTACTGCTAACGGGGCTTCATCGACTTTGCGCGCACTGTTTCACCAAACCATGCACCGCTGGCCCGGCCGTGTCAGCCTACGCTTCGGGACTAGCCTGAGCCTCAATGCCAGCCTAGCACTAGCTAGCTCGCACGCACCGCGTTACCGTTTGCATATTTCGCGAATAAATGTTCGCTCATGCCTTCGCTCAAGCAGGTCGACTGCCAGCGCAGCACGGTCGACCGCGTTCCAGCACTGCTTGGTCGACCGCACTCCAGCAGTGCAAAGTCGACGGCGTGCCAACGCTGCAGGTCGACGGCGTCCAGCATTGCTCCTGCATGACAGCAACGCACCTACTTCGCAGGTGCTCGCAAGTGATTGGCGTGCCGTGCCTTGTCATCTGCACAACGCACACACCAAATCAACCTCATGCTGATGAATGCATCTGATCAGCCACGTCGACCTTGGATACCACCACCGAGGTCGGCCTCGCCACGAACACCTAGGCGACTGTCACGTGCCTTTGCAGAACCTCGTCACTCAGGTAACCAGGTCGACCGAGCAACCACGTTGACCAGCTTCTCCTTCACGTGCCCGTCGACCACCCAAGTCGACGACCACTTCCAGTCGACCTCACCAGGTCAACCACACCTATGGTCGACCAGCTTCAGGTCGACCATCACATCTGTCAGCCGACCACACCCAGTCGACGTCACCAAGTCGACGCCCCTTCTAAGTCGGCGCCGACTTCCAGGCTGACCTCTTGAAGTCGGCGACCTCGCAAGTCGGCGACCTTGGACGTCGGCGCCGACTTCCAGGTCGACGCGCCACATCGCCGACCACCAGTTGAAGTCGGCCGCCGGCTTCCCAAGTCGGCGGCATTGCAGTGGCCCCGTGCAAGTCGACCAAACCCGTCGACCAGCTCGCCCAAGTCGGCGTCGCCCACTGCTGCAATCGGCTGCACCTCCCGTACACCCAACCACGAAGTCGGCTCCGCCCAAGCGAGGACGGGGCCAACAACAACTCCCGTTGACAAATAGGCCTGTAACAGCGGGTTGGTTTGGGCGAGTAGGATGGCGTGGAGTTGGGCTGTGGGGCGTGTGAGTGCGTCGGCGATATTTGATGCGCCTTTCTTGTACCTGAACGTGTAGTGGAAGTTGGACTCCAGAGAGTCCAACCAGCGAATCTGTCGCGGGTTGAGATTCGGTTGGGCGCAAAGGTACAGTAGTTATCGGTGGTCTGTCCGTACTGTCACGTCTGCTCCCATAATGTAACATCGCCACACCTTGAACGCGTGCACGATCGCCAACATCTCGCGGTCGTATATCGGGTAGTTGCGTTCGGGCGGGTGAAGCTTGCGGGACTCGTACGCGATTGGCTGGAGGCCGTTCCCGAAGTCCTGCAACAGTACTGCTCCCACGGCAATGTCGCTAGCGTCGGTGACGAGCTCGAACGGACGGTGCGGATCTGCGATGTGAAGCACTGGCGACGAGCACAAAATTTTTTTGAGGGCTGAAAAGGCAGCTTGCTCTTTCTCCCCCCACGTGTACTTAACCCCCTTCCTCAGCAGGTCGGTCAATGGAGCAGTCAACTTCGCCATGTCGGGGACGAACCGGCGCACGTAGTTGACGAACCCCAAAAAGCTCTGCAACTCGGTCAAATTTGTCGGCGCGTGCCACGCTTGAATCGTCGCGATCTTCTTTGGGTCTAATTCCACTCCTTCAGCTGAAATAATGTGTCCCAAAAACTCCAGTCTGTCTTGTAAAAACTCACACTTAGAGGCTTTTGTGGGTAGGCAGTTCTCACGCAGTATTTTTAAAACGGCTTCGATGTCTTATAGGTGCTGTGCCCTGTCTGCATATCAGTATGTCGTCGAGGTACACGATGACGCACTTATCTCAAAGCGGGCGGAAGGCTTCGTTCGTGGTCATTTGAAAAGTGGCGGGGGCGTTGGTCAGTCCGAAGGGCGTGACGGTGTATTCGAAGGATCCGTAGTGTGTTCGGAAGGTTGTTTTCGGGGAGTCGGGTGGGTTGACTCAGATCTGGTGGTAGCCTCCTCGAAGGTCGAGTTTCGAGATAACCCGAGCTATTCGCAGTTGGTTGATCAGTTCGTAGGCTCGTCGGATCGGGTAACGGGACTTGATGGTAACCCTGTTCAGTGCGTGGTGGTCAATGCACATGCGAAAACCCCTGTCTTTTTTCGGTGTGAACAGTATTGATGTTGCGAAGGGTGACGAAGTCGGGCGAATAAATTCTTTCTCGAGCAGGTAATCCAGCTGCTTCCTCAGTTCGTCCAGTTCGGGTTGGGTCAGTCGGAACTGTCGTTGTACTGTCGGTTGTGCTCCCGGTTCTAGTTCTATCCTGTGGTCGTGCGGTCGCTGAGGTGGCAGTCCTGTCGGCAGGTCGTCCGGGAAAATCCCACTGTACTGCTTCAGGAGCGCTGCCGAGTCATCCGGGACGTCGGCTAGCAGTTTCCGTAAACCCCCCCCCCCTTGTCTGCTGCCTCGGCTTCCCGAATGACGACCGCGTACACGTCAGCTCTTGCCGCTACGGCGTGTTTCATCGTGATCGCGTTGACACGCACCGACGAAGACTCAGGCGAACCCCAGGGAGGTGGGGCGATGTTGTTACTATTCATTCGCACGGTGCCGTCACCCGTCGTCCACTCGATTCGCGGGTTGTGTCGTCGCAACCAATCACGACCGAGTAAAATGTCGGTTCCGTCGAGGGTTGTCGCGAGCATTTCCTGACTAAATGTGAAGTTACCCCGCATCGAATCCGAACCCGGTCTACGCGTTCCCGTATCGCAAGTGGCGTGCCGTCAACCAGTCGTGCGTCGATCTCAGGTAAACATCTGTCCAGTGGCAGTCTCAGTTTTCGTGTTGTGGCGGTGTTGATCAGGCTGTAGGTGGCTCCCCCGTCTACAAATATCTTAAGTAAGTCTGTCCCAATTTTCCCACTAAGCAGTATGGGATTGTCTACCGTAGTACCCTCCTTATTCGGCCGAGTTTGGTCGATTGCATGAACCGGCACAATCACTCGGTGAGGGTAGGTTGGGTCGGGCGAGCGGCGTGACGTGTCAGTAGAGGGCCCGTCTGCTACTGACTCCCAGTGTTTCCCTGCTACTTGGTCTGTTTGTGCTGCTCAGCTTCCCCCTTTCCCTTAGCGTTTTCCGAGCATTCGCTCTTACGGTGTCCCGGCCAATTGCACGCGAAGCAGCGCCCTTTGAACGGTGCGGCAGCGGCATTCGCGGTGATGACACGTATCGTGGCGCCCTCGTTCGTCCCACGAGATCGATGTCCCCAGTCGCTGCTTCCGTAGGACCCTGGTCTCGGTCGACGAAAAAAGTCAAGTTTCTCCGCCATGGCGAGAACTCCCTGAAAATTGGTGACGCCGCGGAGGTGGATTTCCTGGGCGATGTCTTGCTTCAGGCCACCGCTGTAGCGGTCGATATGCTCGCCCTCGTGCATATATCTCACTTGCTCGCACAGCGCCAAAAACCCGCTAGTGTAGTCTTGGACGGAACCGAGTTGGCGCCAAGTATGGAGCTTCTGACGCGCCGCGATCGAAGCCGCAATTGGCTCAACGCGTCCCACGTGCGATATTGGGGCACCTCCACAAAATACGACGGCGCCCAGGGTCCGGTTTGTCCTTCCTGTGTTGGTAGAGTCGCGTTGTCATTCGGCTTCGTGACGATGACACGCCACCAATCCATGGCGGGTCCTCGCAGCAGCGACACGGCGTAGCGAATTTTCGCTGTATCCTCCGAGACGTAGTTGCCGTCGAAGAAAACGTTCATCGTGACGCGAGGTCGACTCCTGGTCGCATTCGTCGCTTCGGGGTGTGTCGTGTCGTGGTCGTCGTCTCCGTCGTGGCGGACGACGCCATCACTGGCCGCGCTCGCGGGTTGCCCCACACTTCCGTGTTGTGATGCCTGTGGTGCGGGCTGTACCGGAGTGCCATGTACTTGTGATTGCGCTTGTTGTGCTCGTGCGACGTCATTCTGCAGGGAGGTGCGTTCCGCCGTCAACGCCGGAGATTTCTTCAGAGTTTTCGTGCAGTTGTCGCAGCAGCTCGTTCAAGCGGTCCTGCGTGAGTGTCGTGATGTCGATATGGTCGGCCATTACGAAGGGCGTCGGCTCAGCTTAGTCTAGGCGCAGTCGTGGCTGCACGCGTTTACGAGAGAACGCGAGGATAGCGGCTCCTAGGGACTAAGGTGCGTGAGTCCCTTTCAAGTGAAAATTTAAAAGTTGATTTTCTGGCGGAGATGCGCCGTCCGAAAGAAAGTAGCTCTGAATACCAAGTGTTACGGGTGCAATGAATCGAGGTAGCGAGAATTGCACTAAAGCATCAAACGAGTACAAAATTTGAGCGAAGGCATGGGCGAACATTAATATGCGAAATATGCAAACGGTAACGCGGTGCGTGCGAGCTAGCTAGTGCTAGGCTGGCATCCAGGCTCGGGCTAGTCCCGAAGCGTAGGCCGATATGGCCGGGCCAGCGGTGCATGGTTTGGTGAAACAGTGCGCGCGAAGTCGGCGAAGCCCCATTAGCAGTAACGGGCGAACAACGGCTGCTGCTGTACGCGATGTTGCAGGATGCGGTAAGGAACGTCGAGAAAATTCCTTACAGTTGGTTGGATATGTGGGATGGGGGGTTGTATAGGTAATAGTGATGTAAAGGCGTGTCACATCGGGTGCTAACCAGCTGTTCAAATTTCAAAATTCTGAGGGTTGGCTATGGTAGAGTACGTTTTAAATAAAAAACAATTTTGTTTAGTACGGTTCTTGTTCAAACAAGCCCCTTCGAACGTCCGAGGTGACACGCCCTAATGTAAGGACGTGTTGCAATTGCCGGTGCACTGCATCGGCTCGGGACGAATGGAAGTCTCCAAGCAAGCGGGACGCCAACCTCGGGCAAACAAAGTTTCGAGATAATGAATAATAGAGTTATGTGCCAAGGTTCTAATAGGGGCATAAAATATTTTTGCGCGTTTTCTGTAAACTTTTTACGGCCTCGTCTTGCCCGAAGCCTTCTGAACCCGTGCCCCGAGCCGAGCCGATGGAGTGCACCACGAATTGCAATACGTCCTAATATATTGTAACTTGGCCTTGCAATGGAGCCACCTGAGGGTTGGCTTTCAACCAGAGCCATGCTACACACTGTCCTCGCCAATTTCACGCCCCGTCAGTTCTTCCTTAAAGCCAAACTGACCTTATTTGGCTATAGGGGGTAAGTCACCCACGAACTAGAGGCTATTCGACTGCGGGGCGAGCTTCCGACAGAGCTTCGCATCGGATGATGTTGACCAGATCGATCGATCACTGCGGACGGCGCTGGAGGGCCTCCCACGTGACATCCTCTCTCTCTTCCCCCCCTGGCACTCTTATGTCTCTGCTGCCCCTGATTCTCTTTTCACAGGAGTGAGCCGCGTCTTGGAGGCGCGGGCCTTGGAGTCAGTCCGGGCCCGTTACACTAACCCCTTGCACCTTGCCCGTTTGACATCCCTTCAGGGCGCAGGTGCAGGCGCGTGGTTGACGGCGGTGCCGTACGCAGACTCGCTGCGCATCCCAGAGGCGCAGTGGCAGGTGGCCTCAGCTTTCCGTCTCGGCCTCCCTATCCCCCAACTAGCCCTCGCAGGTCGGTGTTCTTGTGGGCAGGCGATCGACGACATGACGGTACCTCACCACGTGGTGCGGTGCTCCCGCTTCGGCGTCGCCACGGTCATCCACGACACCGTGAAATACATGCTTCGGGACTTTGCTTTTGAGGCAGGTTTCGCGGTGAAGGTGGAGGACACCACCTTGATTCTGCACCTGGAGGCAGCTAGAGCGCGACTGCAGGGACTCTCGGGGACAGGGGACGGGGTACCGGGACAGTCAGGGGCACCGTGGGGACAGCAGCAGCAGCAGGGTGGGCTCGGTCGAGGGGCTGGTGGGCAGGAGGGCCGAGAGGGGCAGGATGGGCTGGCTAGTGGGGGAGAGGAGGGGGGACAGCAGCAGCAGCGGCAGCAGCAGCAGCAGCAACAGCAGCAGCTAGGCCAGCAGGGGTAGGAGGGGCAGACCCGTAGGGGTGAGGAGAGGGGACAGCATGGACAGCAGCAGCAGGGCCAGCAGGGGCAGGAGGGGCTGGCTAGTAGGGGAGAGGAGAGTGGACAGCAGCAGCAGCAGCAGCAACAGCAGCAGCAGCAGCAGCAGCAGCTGTCAGAATGTTATGCTGTCTAGCCTGCAGTGGGGTACTCAATAGTGAGTACAGCCCAATTTAGGGTTTGCTATATGTACTCAACTGCTTGCTAGTGAAACCCCTTCTTCCATCCATTCCTCATTTCTTCACATGGTATAGAGCTGGTTCCCTCCTGGGACTGTTCCTTCCTAGGGCCCACCACTTCGCTAAACTTTTTTTTTTCTGCCCTGCCCTTAGCGCGTTTCGCGCTCTGCCCTGCTGCCCGTCGCGGCCCTTCGTGGCCCCTTCGTGGCCCCTTCGCGACCCCGTCGCGGCCCTGTCGCGGCCCCGTCACGGCCTCGCCCCGGCCCTGCCCCGTCGCCCTGTCGCGGCCCCCCGTCGCGGCCCCCCCGTCGCGGCCCCCCGTCGCGGCCCCCTGTCGCGGCCCCCCCGGTCGCGGCCCCCCTTCGCGGCCCCGTCGCGACCCTCCGTCGCGGCCCTCCGTCGCGGCCCCCCGTCGCGGCCCCCCGTCGCGGCCCTGCCCCGTCGCCCGCCGCGGCCCTGTCGCGGCCCTGCCCCTGCCCTGTCACGGCCCTGTCGAGGCCCTGCCCCGGCCCTGCCCCGACCCTGCCCCGGCCCCGCCCCGGCCATGCTCCGTCGCCTGTCGCGGCGCACCAGGGACCCGTGCACTGCCCCCCCCTCTTTTCCCGTCGCCTATCGAGGCGACCTGAGGGGGCCGCGCGGGGCGAGCGTCGCCCCTTCTGCCGCCTGTTTTGGCGCCCTGGGAGGCCGCGCGTCGCCCCCCCCCCCCCCCCCCGTAACCTCCCTACCCGCCATCCCGCCCTGCCCTGTGTTAGGGTTTGGGGGTGGTGAGTAGGGGGTGGCGGGTGTGTGGTCTCCCCTACTCCTCCTCCTCCTCTGTCTCCCACTGCTGCAGCTGCCGCTGAGGGGGGTGGGTGTGTGGGAGTCGACGGAGTGGTGCTAGAGGGTGGGGTGTGAGTGAACCTAGGGTGCAGCAGGGGGTGTGTGAAAGGGGGGTGGGATAGTTTGGGGAGGTTGAAAGGGGGTGGCCGCCATGAAGCCCGCAGCTCCAGTCGCCCGTGAGACCGTTGCGCCAGTCGCCCGTGAGCCCGTTGCGCAAGTCGCCCATGAGCCAGTTGCTCCAGTCGCCCGTGAGTCCGTTGCTCCTGCCGCTTAGAGTTAGCCGCGGAGCCAGTTACTCCAGTAGCCCGTGTGCCAGTTGCTCCAGTTGCCAGTGTGCCAGTTGCTCCAGTTGCCCGTGTGCCAGTTGCTCCAGTTGCGCCGTATGCCAGCAGCTTCAGCTGCCGCCCACTACCTCCTCTCCTCTCATAGTCCCTCCTCCTCCACACTTGCCCTCGGTGATAGCCTCTAGCTTTGCTTACATTTGTGGACTTTAAACTTTTTCTTCTTGTACTTGTGCTCAGATTGTGTGGTGACATTGTGATCCACCCTGAGCTTGTGTTTTGCTTGCTTGTTGTGCTGATTACACCCCACTTTGGCTATGGGGGTGTGTCAGAATGTTATGTTTGTCTAGCCTGCAGTGGGGTACTCAATAGTGAGTACAACCCAATTTAGGGTTTGCTATATGTACTCAACTGCTTGCTAGCGAAACCCCTTCTTCCATCCATTCCTCATTTCTTCACAGCAGCAGCAGCAGCAGCAGCAATAGCAGCAGCAGCAGCGGCAGCAGCGGCAGCAGCAGCAGCAGCAGCAGCAGCAGCAGCAGCAACAGCAGGGCCAGGAGGGGCAGCGGCAGCAGGTTTGTAGGGGAGAGGAGAGAGGGCAATAGCGGCAGCACCAGGAAGGTCAGCAAGGTCAACAGGGGCGGCAGCAGGGGGGTCAGCATGGGCAGCGGCGTGTGGGTCAGCAGGGGCAGGCTGGCTGGGAGGAGGAGAGGAGACAGCAACAGCAGCGACGACAGCAGGAGGGCCAGCAGGGGCAGGAGGGGCAGGCCAGTATGGGAGAGGAGAGAGGACAGCAAGAGCAGCATCAAGAGGGTCAGCAGGGGCAGCAGCAGGAAGGTCAACAGGGGCGACAGCAGGAGGGTCAGTGGGGCCAGGCTACTAGGGGAGAGGAGAGAGGACAGCAGCGGCAGCAACAGCAGCGGCAGCAGCAGCAGCTACAGCAGCAGCAGCAGCAGCAGCAGAAGCGGCAGCAACAGCAACAGCATGGCCAGCAATGGCAGGAGGGGCAGGTTGGTGGAGGAGAGGAGAGAGGACAGCACAGCTAGCAACAGGAGGTTCAGCAGGGGCAGGAGAGGCCGGCGAGTGGGGTAGAGGAGAGGGGACAGCAGGGGCAACAGCGGGATGGCCAGCAAGGGCAGGTCGGGCTCCAGGTCCAGGGGGCTACCCAGCCCTTGGGTGCGGGCTGGTTCGGGGAGAGAGGGAGAGAGGAGGTGGCGGGGGACACGACGGCGGGAGCGCAGGGGTTAGGAGGGGAGGGTATGGAGGGGGGGGATAGGGCGAGGGTGCTGCGGGGTTTGGGGTTGGGGAGAGGGGATGGGAGGAGGCAGGTGGGTGGGGGAGAGCATAGAGAGGCAGAGACGACAAGGGAGGAGGCACAGAGGGACCAGGCACAGCAGCAGCCAGTACAGCAGCAAAGGCAGGCTGGACGCACAGGCCGCATAGGGGCACCGGCCCGCATTCCAGACCTGACTTGCCGCGATATAGAAAAAACTTTGATGGTGTTGGTAGACGTCTCCATTGCAGATCCACAGCAACAGGGGAATATCGGGCTTAGACGAGGGGCCCCAGTGCAGATAGGTGTTGCAGCAGCCAGACGAGTGCAGGACAAGTTGCGGGATTGGGCACCGCATCTAGAGGAATTACAACCGCCGCCACGTTTTTATGCTTGTGTAGTGGAGACGTTTGGGCTGCTCAGCGAGCCAATGAGGCAGTTTCTAGGGCTTTGTGCGCGGCGGATTGCACAGCGGCGTAAAGACTTGGGGGGGGGGGATGACGGGTCAGCCCGGATTTTCGAGACCGGACTCACTACACGACTTTCCGTGGCACTGCAGCGAGCGCAGGCTCAGAGTATTATACAGCACGCGGTGCGGCAGTTGGGAGGGTCAGACGATGGGTGGATGCCCGCACCAGTCCCTTTGGGTGCAAGGCAGGGCAGTTGGCATCACATTACTGGCTGCTTTGAGAGCGTGGCAGACATGCAGTATATGTACGATGCATATGTATAGGCGTTTAGCGATTGTGCTTGAAAGGATGTGTCCCGCGCTGTGGTGCGGGTTGCTGTGGTGTTTTGGTCCTTAGGTGTTTCCTTCCTTTAGTTTCTTCCTCTCTTCTTTTCCTCTTTCCACCTTTCCTTCGGCCCTGCTCTTCTTCTCCAGCTCTTCTCTCCGCATCACCCTATCTTTGTTCCACCATTTCTACCTTCCTCTAATACCCCTTATCTTAATTACCCCGACTTTGTATCACACTTAATCCATAATGAAAAAACTAGAGGCTATCCGAGGCATTGTGACTTTTCGATGTTTGCCCCTTCTGACGTTGAGATTGCAACGCAAAGACTGAATCTTCCGCTGCGACCATGTTTCTTTTGTTTTTCCGCTGACTCATGTGCGCAGTCCAGGTCATTGGTTTCCTTAAAACCAAATATTTTGAAACAACCCTTAAATTGGGGTGACTTTAAAATGAATACACAGGGGGGTGAAATTGGCCCTAGTGAAATCGCCCCCTGAATCTTTCGCACTGCAGCTGCTGCACGGTGGCTTGCCCTGTCGAGGTGGACCACGTGATAGGCCCAATCTGAAAACCTCACTTGGAGCTCTGGCCGGACCTCCACACCACACCACATAGGCTTGGCTGAAATGCCTTGGCTTGCGTTACGAACCAATGGTTGGAATGCCAGGCTGATGCTTCGGTCATACGCAAGCCCTTTCCGGGCCACGTGGAATTCGAGTGAGGCGAATAGGTTATCCACTGGGTCCGCCGAATATATCTCAGCGCGTTCAGGTCGTCGCCCAGCGGAGCTCGCTGCCCGCGGGCAAAAAAAATAAACCGCAGTCGGGCATGCATCCGGTCAGGGAGGCATCAACCCTAAACACGGGGAGGCATGGATTTAGGGTTGATGCCTCCCTCGGGTGAAAAGAAATGCACAACCACACAGACAAGCCTCGATCAGAAATGGCAAATGTGTCCCTCCCACGCACAGCCAGGGCACATGCTGCCCACATACAGGGTGGCACCTGCCCTCACCTGACCATCCCGTACGGTAGATTGCGGCTGGGAAAGGAAGGGAATTATTTACAGATTCAGGGCTGACTTGGTTTCGTGCTGCGGCTACCGCTCCAGGTGGTACACATCGCATGAGAGAGAGAGGCAGTGTGGGATGGGAGGGGGAGGGGGTATTGAGAACGCGATGCTCCAGGGGTAGGTCATGGTGACAGGCGTGAATGGTGGGTGGATGGTGAAGAGAAACGCGGGTTTGACTAGCATGAGTCAATACAGAAACCAAAACGGAAACCGAACCAGGTCAATGGCTTGTTAGGGCGTGTAACCATTTTGCCTATTTTTGTTCCGGACGGTCCGAAATGTGGACCGTCTGGATTAGCGATGAGTTACCAAAGTCGCAGTATTTCGCAAGTCTGTTCGGTAAACTCCTTGCGACGTCGCCAACATTCCGAACCGTCATGACACTTTTTCATGTTTCCAACGGTCCGAAATGTGCATTTCGGACGGTCCGAAACCCCGTTTTGGACGGTCCGCCAGTTCTGCGCAGGGATTGGCGGACGAATATCACTCTGCAATCCTGCGCAGGGATTGGCAAACGAATCGGTCTTGCGACAGCTTGTGTATTTGGTTACGAGTGTCGCGGGAGCTGCGCGAGACTACAGTAGTCGCGAAGTCGGAGCACAAGCAAAAAAGTGTCACGTTTCTCTCCGGACGGTGGCAAGGTTCCGGAACGTCACATCGGACGGTCCGTTTCTCGATATGAGGACCGTCCGTTTTAAAATATACAGACGGTCCGGAAAAACACAAAAAAATCAAATGGTTACATACCTCACACTTCAGCAGCAGCAGCTTCCAAGGCGCAAGGAATCCACCAAACAAACCCCAAGTGCTGTAGCCCTCTCAAGCCCCCGCGAGCTACCCCCTCTTTCCCCACCCGCCACCGCACCCGCGTCCGCGCGTCGTACAGTTCTGTACACAGCACAGCCGCAGCATGCTCCGCCACCGCTGTACAGTTTCAGGCACACTGTCCGCCTGCCCTACACCTACCCTGCCCAGTATGGCATCGAATAGTGTCCAACCCTGCCCTGCCCCTTCCCCAGGCAACCCTTCCCTGAAACCAAGATTGCCCAGGGCGGGTCATTCTCGTCTCGTCCAATCCCAAATGAATCGTACAAGGTTCTTTCTGGTGCGCAACGGTTTAAAGCGGTGGAAATCTAAACCGCTCTAAAGGTGTAAGGTATTGAGCCACAGTCTATTTATAAGAGCTTGAGCTGTGCTAGTCTTTCTTGTGCAAGTCTTCAGAACCTGGCCTGGCTTCAGGGCTGGTGAGTTTTCCTGATTCAACACTCCATTCTTCATACCACTAGGTCAGATTTGGTTGATCAAGTGAGCTTTGGCGAAGTATTATGTGTTCAACCTCTAGTTAAGCAGCTTCGGTTGTGTTATTATCTTCTTGTTGCAACGCGGAAAACCTCGAATTTTGGTACCAAGTGCGTAGTCCTTGTTCCCGCCTTGACATTCCTGGCGTCGCCTTTTTACCAACAGATCGGCGTAGATTTTGCCAGTTTCCACACCGTCGCGGAGAATCCCCATCCGATGCCGAGTCAGCAGCCATATCCTCCACATCAGCTGCATCATTCGCCAGTTCAGGCACAAACGCCGAATCCGCTAATTTCAAATGAAGCGGTTCCTACCCAAGACGGTCCTCAAACCACGCCGCAACTTGCGATAAACCTGAACCAGTCGGTGGTCGATCCAGGCGGTGATGCTCCTGGTTTTCTTGGCTTATCTTCCTCCCCAGAGGCTCTAATGAATGCTCTCAATCTTCTTCAGCAGGTACAATACTTGATAAGTCAGTCATACCTTAATCATCCGTTTTCCTCCACCGCTCTTCTTCTGATGAGTCAGTCGTACCTGCGCACCTTCTCGACACCTCTCTATCTCTCTATAAGTGCTGCGCGACACCTTCCCGTTGTGACGAGTTAATTTCTCACATGTACCGTCGTTTCCTCTCTCACGGATCCATTGTTCTTGCAGAACATCAGCGCGCTTCAATCGCTTATCCCGTTGATGGCGCAGCAGCAGCAGCAGCAGCCAATCGACAGCGCTCACGCGGAGCAGCTAAAGCAGCAGCACGCTGCCGCATCGGCCGGAATCGCCTCCGTCATTTCCCAGCTCGCGCTTGCCGCGGCCAACATCCTTCCCCAAATGGGCCTTCCTGCGCCCGTTAATGTCACATCGACTAAGATTCCACCCGCTAATGTCAGATCTGGTGTTTTCCAGTCCCGAAATTCCAACGTGGGAAATCTCCAATTAGCGTCTGTCCAGCCGAGTCACCCCGGCGTGGCGGCTTTTCCGTCTCTTGACCCGCATCCTGATCTTAACAATCTTCAGCGACAACATCAACCAATCCTAGAGCACCAGTCCCCGCAAATTTTGCAGGGAACTCCAGCGGGCTTCGCCTGGCAAGATCTTGGCTTCCAGATGTTGGAATCGCAATCGCAGAGCGCGCGGAACGCGGAGAAGGCTACGGCTCAGCTGCAGCTGGTTCTTGCTTCCTTGTCATCTGCTGCGGCCGAGTCTGTCAAGCTGCAACAAGATCAGCTCAAGAGCGTAGTTTCGCAAGAGGAGCAACACCAACACCTTCGTCCGCAGCAGCAGCAGCAGCAGCAGCACATTCAGCCGCAGATGACGGTCTCTCCAAGCGAGGACACGTCGCCACTCGCAATCGCGTCGCAGCTGCCGCGGAAGCGGAAGAGCCTCGAGCCCGCGACGGTGGCTCCAGCTGCTGACGCAGGTCAGGGAAATCCCGCGACTTCACCGCCTGGCGATGAGGGTGACGACGAGGGCGAGGTGTTGGCTGGTGAGTCGCGTGCTCGCTGCATTGTGTGTTGCATCCGGTGCCTAAGAGTGTATCCATCTCTCTTGTACCCGTTTCTCTTGTAACCGTGTCCCTTGTCTCTGTTCTGCGTTCGTTGATGTGTGCATGGCTTCATAGGGCGAGTTCAATATCATCCATGCATCTCGGAGAGAACTTGCGGAACTCAAAGAATTTTACTCCTATCTTTTGTTGCCTGCACACATCCCGTGCATCTTGTCTCTCTGCTGCGTGCACTCGTGCTTTGGTGGCTTCAGGAGAGTTCAACATAATCCAGATGGACCCTGTGGAGCTGTTGGCGGAGCACACGCACTTCTGCGAGATCTGCGGCAAAGGTATGCTGTGGCAAAGGCATTGGTTGTGTGCAACTAATTTGCTGTCTGCGACTCATATGGCACATGCCTGCCACCACTGTAGCTTCTCTGCTCGCTGCTCTGCTCCTCTCTGCTCGCTGCTCTGCTCCTCTCTGCGCTGCTCTCTTCTGCTCTGCTGTTACATGTGCCACCACGTTCTGACTTTCGTTTGACGCCGCCTTGCTCTGACATCGCATGTTTTATACCCTGGCAGGATTCAAGCGAGACGCCAATCTCCGCATGCACATGAGAGGCCACGGCGACGAGTACAAGACGCCAGCAGCCCTCGCAAACCCTGAGAAAAGCATGCTCTCTCGGACTGACACCACTGCCGTTACCGAGAAAAAGCCGCTCCGATACAGCTGCCCGTTTGACGGGTGCAAGCGCAACCAGCAGCACCGGGCGTTCGTGCCTCTCAAGACGATGCTGTGTGTGAAGAACCACTACCGCCGCACCCACTGCCCCAAGATGCTCTCCTGCTCCAAGTGCGGTGCAAAGCGGTTCTCGGTGGTGGCGGACCTCAAGACCCACGAGAAGCACTGCGGGCGCGACCGCTGGCTGTGCTCCTGCGGCACGTCCTTCAGCCGCAAGGACAAGCTGCTCGGCCACCTCGCCCTCTTCAAGGGCCACCGCCCCGCCAACCCCTCCCTCACTGCTGCCGACGACGGCCCTGCTGGCGCCAAACCCACACTTGCTGCCGCTCCACACGACGCCGCTGCTGTATCTCCCATGATTTTCGGATCTTCCTTCCCGCAACCTGAGCAACAACCTGGGTACCAACCTGAGCAACGTGCACTAGCAGACCTTGTCACGGCAGATCTCCTGGGCTCAGCTGAGAAGGCTGCGCGGCTGGTGCGGTGAGTGCAATCGGATTCACCTAATCCCTGCCTGGGTTGGGGATTCTGCGGAGTCAACTCGTTACAGCGCCAGGTGGCTCGACTTCTGTGAATGTAAATATCTGCACCAAGACTGCGGTGCAAACTTTCACAGCAATTTGTACATGACTCTGGCAAAAGCTGACAGCATAGCACTGGGTATTCAGCAGGTTCCAAGTGCACTGAAGCAAAAGCTCCTTGTATCGTTAGCAGCTCCTTTGTTTTTTGTGTTCTCTTAGGGAAACTCATGTGTGCCCCTTACTACTAGCATATGGTTTGTATGTAGTGCCCATATAGGGCATATTTTAATGCCCCTTATTTATACTTCGTACTGATTGCTGAGGAACAAAGCATACCACTGCTTTAGATTATGCAGTACACTGCAACGCTAGCACTTATAGCTGGGGAAATTGCTGTTGCCAAGACTACCCGCCTTGAAGTTTAGGTTGACAGTAAAAAATTACAGATAAAGCAATTCGCTGCTGCTTTTCACTTACCTAAAGCAATTGTACATTTCGATGACAAATAGCATAGAGACACAACGCATCATTAGAACAGTAACAAGATCATAGCAAGTATAAAGCAAAACACTCTTGAGATGGCTCAACAGCAGTCCACTCCACTACGGGCCATGGCTTGCTGTTGAAACACCTCAACATACTCACAAGCAGTCAGAGAGAATACACTGCGAGAATACAGTTGACTTGACATTTTTGGAATGTCATGATGAGGTGAGGCAGGTCAAGGGAAGGGCATTCGTGGACAGAAGGGATGGCTGCATTGCTGGCGGTGAAGTGGGCTTTTGTCAGCAGTGAGTTGCATGGAAAATACAGCTGCTGCTGCTGCAGCTGCTATTGGTGGAGCTGTTGCTGCAGCTGCTATTGGTGGAGCTGCTGCTGCAGCTGCCTCTTCTATCGAACATGCATTGACATGCCTCACACAATGCTGCTGCTGGTCATGTTGCTGCTGTGAAAGGCAGACCTGAACCGAGTGTAAGACCGTGACCCTGCTGGTGCTGCTGCTGTGGTGAAGGCAGGTGGAGGAAGGCTGGGGGCATTTGCGCTTGCATCCGTGCCAGGAATGACAACAATAGCAGCAGCAGCAGAACCCACCCCTCCTCCTTCCATCGCCCCAGGTTGATATGACACAGGTATGGCCGCATTACTGCTCCCATTCCCTCCTCCCACCCCCCCACTCCCACTCCCGGTCCCGGTCCCGCTGCTGCTCCCATCCCCTGCACTCATCAACCCCTGACTTCCCCCCAATCCGCTGCTGCTGCTCCCCTCCCCGCTGCTCGCAAACGTGATATTCGAGTGGCCCAAACCGGGCGGCGGGTGGCCAGCCGCCGCCTCAAGCTGGATGGCGTGGTTTAACTCGAAGCAAACGTCTGAAATGCTCGGGCGGTTGAAGCTTTTCGGCTCGACGCACACCACGCCCACCTCTGCCACGCGCCACATGACCTCAATGTCGAATTCGGAGGGGGAGAGGGTCGGGTCTATAATAGCTTCTATCTGCCCTTGCTGCAGCCGCGACCGCACCTGCAAAGGGCATAGGGCGTAGGGCATGGGGGGAGGGAATGGAAAGGGCAAGGGGTGAGAGGGCAAGTGATAGCGCACGCACACACCACTCCCACCTCTGCCACGCGCCACATGACCTCAATGTCGAATTCGGAGGGGGGGAGGGTCGGGTCTATTATAACTTCTATCTGCCCTTGCTGCAGCCGCGACCGCACCTGCACGGGTTTAGGGTGTGGGGGGAGGAGGGAGAGAGGAAGAGCGGGGGGGGGGGGGGTTTAAGTCGATTGCTTGCCGCCCGAAAATCATCTCCAGAAGCACCCAGTCAATCCATTCAACCCTAGTCAACCGGGGTCAACCCTAATCAACCCTGCTCAACCGCAGTCAACCGTTACTCACCCAGTCAATAATGCTCCAGTCGTCTCTTGGCCGGTTCAGGTCGATTGGCTGGCGACCGGAAATCAACTCCAGCAGCACGACTCCAAAGCTGAACACGTCACTGCGGTCGGTCAGCTGCTGCACCGTGTAGTACCTGAAGGAAGGGAGGGATGGAGGGAGTGAAGAGGAAAGAGTAGAGGTAAAGAGGACAGGGGTTAACAGCTCAAAAATCAGTTCCAGCAGCACCGCTCCGAAGCTGAACACGTCACTGCGGCCGGTTAACTGCTGCACTGTAGTACCTGGTGGGGTGGAGAGGGGGCAGGAGAGAGGGAGGATGAAGCAACAGGTCCTGCCGAGCCTGTCCGCGTCAAATGATCCACTTGGGCCTGCAGAACACCACTTCCGGGGCGCACTAATTTAATCGCCTGAAGGTTCCAAGATGTTGCATCGCCAGGCAAATGTTCGCACAACTTGTGCGCTGCCAACTCAGCCTCGAGAGCTAGCATCAGCCAGCGCACAAGTTATGCGGGGCAGCAATTTGAGGGATTGAGAAATTGAGTGAGACTTGGTGGCAACTTCCGCCCTGCAAATTGAGTAATTAGAGATTTGGGTGTGGCGAAAAGCTACTCGGAAGGACTTGCTCCTACATTTCATGCGGAGGCAATGACGCCTACAGAACAGCGCCAGTGTGTGGGAGGATTTTTAAGTCGACTCAAAAATCGACTCAGAAGGACTTGCTCGTACACTTCATGCGGAGGCAATGACGCCTACAGAACAGCGCCAGTGTGTGGGAGTGGGAGGATCCATCAAGCTGGGTTGCATGCACTCATTCAGGATCGAGGAGGCCTGCTGTCCCGCTCTCACGCGCATGCGACTTTTGAGTCGACTCAAAAGTCATCGAGGAGGCCTGCTGCCCCGCTCTCACGCGCATGCGACTTTTGAGTCGACTCAAAAGTCATCGAGGAGGCCTGCTGCCCCGCTCTCACGCGCATGCGACTTTTGAGTCGACTCAAAAGTCATCGGGGAGGCCTACTGTCCCGCTCTCACGCGCATGCGGCGAGCTGCGCTGATTGAAACATAAGTGAGGCTCACAAAGCCTTCTCGTGCCAGTTCAAAGTCAGCCACATAGCTTATAAGGCTCGACTTATAATGGGCCTGGGGATGCGAGGCATGTTGCACATCACATAGCTTGCTCTTTTCCTCACTTGCACCCAAAACTCACTCAGGGTATCCAGCCGTGCCTGCCCTTGACATTCATAGACACGTGGGTTAGGCTAACCTGACAGAGCCCTCCCTGGACAGCCCAAAGGGACTCAGCTACCGGTCAAGGGAGGGCATACCATACCTGGGAGAAAGGGACTTACTCGGGGTCGAGGTAGCCTGCTGTGCCCTTGACATTTGTTGACACATGCGTGCGGCTCACAGAGCCCTCCCTGGACAGTCCAAAGTCAGCCACGTGGGCTCTCAGGTTGGCATCAAGAAGAATGTTGCTGGTCTTGATGTCCCGGTGGATGATGGGGGGGGTCATGCCCGTGTGCAGATACTCGATTCCTGCATGGGATGAAGCAGTGGAGAGGAGAGGGGATGTTGCTGGTCTTGATGTCCCGGTGGATGATGGGGGGGGTCATGCCTGTGTGCAGGTACTCGATTCCTGGAGGGAAGGAAAGAAAGGGAATGGGAAGGTTACATAGGGTGGAAGGAAAGGGATGGGATGGGAGGGTAAGGAGGGGAAAGGGCTCTCAGGTTGGCGTCTAGGAGAATGTTGCTGGTCTTGATGTCCCGGTGAATGATGGGGGGGGTCATGCCTGTGTGCAGGTACTCGATTCCTGTGTGGGATGGAAGGTAGGTAAAGGAAGGGTTACAGAGGGCGAAAATAAAGGGATGGGATTAGAAACGAGATGGGAGGGTTAGAAGGGGAAAGGACTCTTTGATTGGCATCTTGGTGGATGATGGGGGGGGGTCATGCCCGTGTGCAAGGCAAAAACTCCACATACACTCTCTCACACACAAGGCAAGGACTTCTACTCACCTCTGGCAGCGTTGAGGGCGATGTGCAGCCGTTGCAGCCACCTCAGGTGCCCCAGGGGGTTCCCAATGGAGTCATACAGATGGTCCCTCACAGTGCCATGCGGCATGAACTCATACACCAGCACCTGCTGCTGCTGCGCCTAGCGTCGCGGCATGTCTCACTCTCACACACACGTCACGCACTGCTCTGCCTAGTGGCATACTCTCACACTCCCACTCACCTCTGGCGGCGTTGAGGGCGATGTGCAGCCGTTGCAGCCACCTCAGGTGCCCCAGGGGGTTCCCGATGGAGTCATACAGATGGTCCCTCACAGTGCCATGCATGCGGCATGAAGGGCTTTCTCACACTAAGGACTCCCACGCACCTCTGGCAGCGTTGAGAGCAATATGAAGCCGTTGCAGCCAGCGCAGGTGCCCCAACGGATTCCCAATGGAGTCATATAAATGATCCCGCACGGTCCCATGCGGCATGAACTCGTACACCAGCACCTGCTGCCCGCTCTCCCGGCAGAATCCAATCAAATCCACGAGATTTGGGTGGCGGGCGCGCGACAGCAGGTCCACCTCGTTATAAAACTCCTTCTCGCCTTGTAACGAGTCCTCGTCGCGCTTCTTAGCCGCCACCATTCTCCCATCAGGGAGAATACCTTTGAACACGGGTCCGAACCCGCCCGAGCCAATAATGTGGGAGGGGTGGAAGTTGGCGGTTGCTGCTGCTAGGTCTGCGAGGGAGAAGCGCCGCACGTGGGAGCCTGGAGAGACAAAGAGGATCATCGAGTCGACAGCTGCTGCTGCCGCTGCTGCAGCTGCTGCTGCCGGTGCTGCTGGTGCAGCTGCTAATGCTGCACCTGCTACTGGCATTCCTGCAGGTGTTTCAGCAGATAAAGACTGATCCTGGGTCATGGAGGAATCACCAGAGATGCCGTTCTGGGTCACACCACTAACACCCAAACCTGCTGCTGCTCCTGCACCAGCAATAGCCGCTGCCCCAGCTGCTGCTGCTGTAACAGCGGCAGTACCACCACTACCAGCGCCAGCAGCAGCATCACCAGCAGCACTAGCAGCAGCAGGGCCAGAGGCCGTTGCAGCAGTGTCGGTTGTTGCAGCAGAGATTGCACCCAAACTAGACCCGAGGAGCATTGAGGAATCCTCTCTTGCTCCCAGCAACGGTGTTGTCGATTCTGCAGCTGAAACGGCAGCAGGCACCTTAATTGCTCCTCCCCCTCCCCCTCCTCCCGCTGCTCCTGCTCCTACCCCTGCCCCTGCTGCCCCTGCTGCTGCTGCTGCTGCTGCTGCTACTTTTCCATCTCCTCCTTTCTCCCCATTCCCGTCAATCACTACATGCACCAAACCCACCTGATCATGCCCCAATAACGCCTCCCCTTGCCTTTTCCCATCATACCCTCCCGCTCCTCCTCCTCCTCCTCCTCCCCCTCCTCCGCCTTTCCCTTCCTCATCCCACCCTCCCAGCCCTCCTTTCCCCTCTCCGCTCCCCCCCTTCCCTCCCTTCTCCTCCCCATCCAGTCCCACCCCCCCAGTATACGCCTCTGCTGCCCGCCGGGCCCGCTGCATTTTCTGCCAGCGCCACAGGACAAACGTCGCCGCTGCGACTATACAGATGCCCAGGATTATGCCTAAAACGAGGAAAACCAGCGCCACAGTACTCATGGCCGGGTCGGAGGAGGAGTCGGAGGGAGGAGGGGAGGAGGAGGAGGAGGGGGAGGAGGGAGAGAGGGAGGTGATTGGAAGGCCATTGCCCGAGCAGGCAGGAAGGCTGAAGGCCCTGTCTGGGTGGCAGAGGTAGTTGTTGCCCTCTATGCTGCAAGGAAAGAAGAGCACAGAGGGAAGAGGGCGCAGAGGGAAAGAGAAGAGAGGGAGGCGGGAGTGGGTGGAAGGTTGAAGGCCATTGCCCGAGCAGGCAGGAAGGCTGAAGGCCCTGTCTGGGTGGCAGAGGTAGTTGTTGCCCTCGATGCTGTAGGGGAGAGCACAGAAGGAAGGGGAACAGAGGGAGGAGGCACAGAGGGAGGAGGCACAGAGGGAGGAGGCACAGAGGGAGGAGGCACAGAGGGAGGAAAGGGGGGGAGTGCAAAGTTGAAGGCACTATCTGGTTGGCAGAGGTAGTTGCGGCTCTTGATGCTGCAAGAAAGGTTGCAGGGGGGAGGGGATCACAGAGGGAAAGGGGAGTGAGTGGGAGGTTGATTGAAGGCAATATCTGGGTGGTAAAGGTGGTTGTTGCCCTTGATGCTGCAAGAACGGGAATGGGGGAGGGGAGGGGGGAGAAGAAACGTTGGAGGCTGGAGAAGGGAGAAGTGATGGAGGAGAAGGGGGAGCAAGTAGAAGTGAGACTTTTGAGGTGATTGATTGGTGGATTAAAAAATTGACATAAATGATCAGAAAAAGGCATAAAGAACAGTGGGAAGCGAATCAGTGAACACGATTTTTTGGACCGGCATAAAAGGGAGAGAGAGGAGCGAAGGGAGGAAGGAAAGAAGAGGGGAGGAGCGAGGAGTGGGGAGGAGAGAAGGGGGAGAAGATAGGGGAACGGGAGATACAGGAGGGAGAGATAGGGAGAGACAAGGGAGAAAGAGTAGAGCGAGAACTGCTTACTTGATATCGATGCTGACTGTGGGAGGGAGATGGAGGAAGAGAGAGCAGGGAAGGAGGGAGAAGGGAAGGAGAGTTAAGGGAGGAAGGGTAGAGGAAGAATCACTCACTTGATATCGATGCTGACAGTAGCGTTGAAAGGAAACGGCCCTGTGAGGTTGTTGTTGCTGAGATCGCTGCAGAGGGGGAAAGAGGGGGAGAGATAATGGGAGGGGAAAGTGAGTGATAAAAAGAGGGGGAGAAGGGATAAAAAAAGCAGGAAATCAGGAAGCTGTGGCAGCTCTTTTTAGTCGACTTATCATTCAAAACTTGGTACACGGAGGGCTGGTGGTGGATGGGAGGAACTTACAGGTGCAGGAATTCGGGCAGCTGTAAGAGCGACATCGGCACACTGCCAACCAGCTGGTTGTCTCCCAGCTTGCTGCAGGCACAGGTAAGGTGATGAGGGGTGGGAGGGAGTTGTGAGGAGTTGAGTAGAAAGGCAACCTGAGTTTCCTGGCACGCTTCCCACCAGCTGGTTGTTGCCCAGCTTGCTGCAGGCACAAGAGAGGCAAAGAGCGGTTGGAGGGAGTTGTGAGGAGTTGGAGGGAGTTGAGTAGGGGAAGTCAGCACAAGAGAAGAGGCTGACAGGGAGAACTCACTGGCACAGGGAGATTTTTGCAGCTGCAAGAGAGGTAATGAGGGGTTGAGAAGAGTTGAGCAGGGTTGAGTGGAGAGAGTTTGAGGGACTGATATGGAGGTTCATTGGGAAATCGCACCCAAGTGGTTGACTTGTAAGTGAAGTGTTTATCTGTGTTGTCTTTAGCCTTTAGGTTGGCAAGCAAATAAAACCAAAGGGACCTAACCCATTTTTATGAAAGATGTGACAAGGAGGGATCAGAGGATAAGGAGGGATCAGAGGATAAGGAGGGGGTGTGGGGAGGGGACGAGGGGAGGAGAGGAGGGGAGGCGGGGATTAGGGGAGGGGAGGAGGGCCATACAGGGAGTGCAGATTCGAGAGGGAACCAAGCCACGAGGGGATGTGAGGAGGGGAGGCAGAGAGGAGGAGGGCCGTACAGGGAGAGAGAGTGAGGAAGGGAGGCAGAGGGTATGAGGGCCATACAGGGAGTGGAGGTTCGAGAGGGAACCAAGCCATGAGGGGATGTCGCCTGTGAGGCTGTTGTCGTTGAGCGTGCTGCATGTGAGAGATTTCGTGGGTGAGGGCACATGGGGAGGTGGGGTGGGCAAGTGGGGTTGGCCATGAGGCGAGGGAATGTCGCCTGTGAGGCTGTTGTCGTTGAGCACGCTGCAGGCGGGGAGGTGAGCAGGTGGGGTCTGGTTGGCTATGTGAGAGGCACAGGAAGCAGGTGTTTGTGAGGCGAGGGAATGTTGCCTGTGAGGCTGTTGTCGTTGAGCATGCTGCAGGCGGGGAGGTGAGCAGGTGGGGTCTGGTTGGCTATGTGAGAGGCACAGGAAGCAGGTGTTTGTGAGGCGAGGGGATGTTGCCTGTGAGGCTGCTGTCGTTGAGTACGCTGCATGTGGGGCTACATGGGGCACGTGGCATGTGGGAGCACATGATGTTAATGAGAATGCTTTTAGAGTGTACGTTGAGAGGGGAGCTTACAGGGGCAGGAGGTAGGAGGTACGTGCAGTGAAGAAAGAAAGAAAGAAAGAAAGAAAGAAAGAAAGAAAGAAAGATGTCTACAATGCACTTATCAAGATTCAAGAGTTCGAACCATAGAACAGGAGTGTTTAGGGACGTACAGTGTGGAGAGGGAGGAGGTGCTTACAGAGAGGAGAGCGAGGAGGTGCTTACAGAGCGGAGAGCGAGGAGGTGCTTACAGAGCGGAGAGCGAGGAGGTGCTTACAGAGTGGAGAGCGAGGAGGTGCTTACAGAGCGGAGAGCGAGGAGGTGCTTACAGAGAGGAGAGCGAGGAGGTGCTTACAGAGCGGAGAGCGAGGAGGTGCTTACAGAGCGGAGAGCGAGGAGGTGCTTACAGAGCGGAGAGCGAGGAGGTGCTTACAGAGCGGAGAGCGAGGAGGTGCTTACAGAGCGGAGAGCGAGGAGGTGCTTACAGAGCGGAGAGCGAGGAGAGGTTGGAAATGCAGGCAGGGATGGAGCCGGAGAGACCAGAGTGACTCAGGTCCCTGTGAGAACAACATGCAAGCAGGAGAGAGTGAGACAGGGGGAGGATAGAGGGGGTGAGGGGCAGCAGCAGTGCAGCACTGGTTGCAGATGCAGGCAGGGATGGAGCCGGAGAGACCAGAGTGACTCAAGTCCTTGTGGAGGGCAACAGGCAGGCACGAGAGGGATGTAGGCGGACATGGGATGAGGGCATCGTTGATACGGGCGGACATGGGATGAGGGAATCCTTTAGGCATCTCACGAAGGAACGCACACAGGGATGGCACGGGTGGCCCCCAACCCATTCCTCCAAACCAAGCCAGCAACACTCGTGCACTCACACCAGCACTCACCAGCACTCACACCAGCGCTCACACACCAGCACTCACACACCAGCACTCACACATCAGCACTCACACACCAGCACTCACACCAGCACTCACACCAGCACTCACACCAGCACTCACACCAGCACTCACACACCAGCACTCTCAGCAGCACTCACCAGCACTCACACACCAGCACTCTCAGCAGCCCCAACACCAGCACTCACACACCAGCACTCACACACCAGCACTCACACCAGCACTCACACACCAGCACTCACACACCAGCACTCACACACCAGCACTCACACCAGCACTCACCAGCACTCACACACCAGCACTCTCAGCAGCCCCAACAGCAGCACTCACAGGCCAATGACAGCAGTGGCATTGGCACTGAAGCTGCACTGCACGCCCGGCCACGTCACAGGGTAGCACGGGTCCCCCACCCACTCCTCCATAGCAGCAGGTTCCCCAAACTGTGTCTTCACACACGCTAGCGCCGCCACATCTCCCCCTCCCACCGCCGGTGCCTCCTCAAACAACTGGACTATTTCCAACCCGCTAAGTGTCACGGGGCGAATCCGGCTCTTAGCGGTGGTTTTTACCCTAAGTCTGATGTTTAGCCGGTTTTCGGGTGTGACTGTGAAGGGGATGGCGGCCTGGCCTGCTCTGGGGCCTCCCCATTGGTTGGGGGGAGAGAGGGGGATCACTATGAGCTGCTTTTCTACAACCACGTCGTTTAGTAACACGGTCACCACTAAATCGCCTAGAAATTCGTCGATGCTGGTGGTGCTGGTGCTGCTGTTACCGCCACTGCCACTGCTGCTGTCAGTGATATTCCCACCGCCAGTGCTATTACCGGCCCCACTGCTACTACCGCCACTGCCACTGCCGCTGTCAGTGCTATTTCCACCTCCGGTACTATTACCGCCGCCACCATTGCCACTACTACCGCCATTGCCACTGCTACCACCACCGTTGCTACCACCTCTGTTGCTACCGCCAGGGCCGTTGCCACTACTACCGCCACTGCCACTGCCGCCGCCGTTGCCACTGCCGCCGCCGTTGCCACTCCCTACAGAAGCTGCAGTGGCAGCAGCAGGCGGGGGAAGGAGGCTGGAGAAATACAGAAACGCCTGGTAGCGACCCAAATCAAGGTTATCGAATGAGTACTCTAACCCTCTATTCGCCAGCGCTGGCGGCGCTAGCACCGTGCGAGCAGACTGCAGCACCCGCTGCGGCACAGCGTTGAGAACGGAAGAAGAGGAGGGAATGGGGGTGCCCGTGGCGGTGTTGGGGGGTGAGGGCGGAGGGATGGTTACGGTGGCGTTGGTGGTAACCAGCTGTGTGAGGTTGGATGGCTGGAGGTCCCAGTGGTCTAACTGAGTGCTGCCGTCGATCTGCCATATGCGGTCAGCAGGGTCCGAGGGGTATCTGAAAGGGGGAGGAGAGAGGGGAGCGGGGACGGGTTGGTTTTACAATAGTTACATTGATGGTAACCAGCTGTGTGCGGGTGGATGGTTGCACGTCCCAGTGGTCTAACTGAGTGCTGCCGTCGATCTGCCATATGCGGTCAGCAGGGTCCGAGGGGTACCTGGCAGGCAGGGGGAGAGATAGGGAGGGGGTGATAACAAGTTGGTTGTACAATGGTTGCACGTCCCAGTGGTCCAACCTAGTGCTGCCGTCGATCTGCCATATGCGGTCAGCAGGGTCCGAGGGGTACCTGAAAGTGGGAGGAGAGAGAGGGGAGTGGGAAAGAATCGGTGTTACAGTGGTTACAATAGTGGTGGTTACCACCAGCTAGTTGCAGGTCCCAGTGGTCTGTGAGTGTGCTGCCGTCAATCTGCCATATGCGGTCAGCAGGATCTGAGGGGTCACTGGCAGGAGGGAGAAAGTGGGGGAAGCGGAGGGGAGGGAGAGGGGGGGATTCATTGTCGTGCACACGCAAAGCCCCACCAGACCACGAGCACGTCCGCCTTTGGCTCCTGGTAGCTGTAGGAGAGCGGCGGCATGCAACACACACATACGCACCCACCCACATGCACATTCGTGCATGCACGCACACATACACGCACCTGAAAGTCTGGTCCCTCACAGGGCTGTCCCCGCATGTAAAGCGCCACCACACCAGCAGCACATCCGCCTTCAACTGCTGGTAGCTGTAGGAGGGCGGCGGCAGCGGGCGGATCTCGATGGCGTTGATGATGGGCGGGGCAGGTAGGGTGGGAGGAGGGGGCTTCCTTACACGCGCACCCATAAACTCACCTGAAAGTCTCGTCTCTGACTGCCGCAAGCAAAGCGCCACAGAACCAGCAGCACGTCAGCTTTCGACTGCTGGTAGCTGTAAGACAGCGGCACACACATGGACCCATACACCCACCTGAAAGTCTGGTCTCGGACAGGGCTGTCGCCACAAGCAAAGCGCCACCACACCAGCAGTACATCCGCCTTGAGCTGCTGGTAGCTGTAGGAGAGCGGCGGCAGCGGGCGGATCTCGATGGCGTTGATGATGGGGGGGGCGTCCCCCACCCGCTGCAGGCAGATGGGCATGGCCGCGTCCCTCACTGTCGCGATGGCTTCAATCGTGTAGAGGGTGTCGCCTATAGAACGCAGGTCCACCTGTCCTCTGTAGTAAGGGAAAGGACGGGGGGGGAGACAAGAGCAACAGTGTAATTTGGCTTGAAAACCTTCAACCCCCCCTCGCAGCTCGCTGCAGGCAGACGGGCATAGTGGCGTCCCTGACTGTGGCTATGGATTCGAGCGTGTAGAGGGTATCGCCCATCGAACGCAGGTCCACCTGTCCCCTGGAGTGGAGCAATGGAGGGAGGATAGGAGGCAGGTAGGCAGTGTTTGAATGGGTTCAAACTGACTTCCCACTCGCTGCAGGCAGACGGGCATGGTGGCGTCCCTGACTGTGGCTATGGCTTCGAGCGTGTACAGGGTATCGCCCATCGAACGCAGGTCCACCTGACCACTGCAGTGAAGCAATGCGGGTGGGGGAGAGGAGGGGAGGTGAGGAGGGGAGAGGGGCGGGTAGGCAGTGTATGAATGGACTCGAACTGATGCCCGCACACGCTGCAGACAGATGGGCATGGCCGCCTCCCTGACTGTGGCTATGGCATCCCATCCCATCCCATCCCATCCCATCCCATTCCATCCCATCCCATCCCATCCCATCCCATCCCATCCCATCCCATCCCATCCCATCCCATCCCATCCCATCCCATCCCATCCCATCCCATTCCATCCCATCCCATCCCATCCCATCCCATCCCATCCCATCCCATCCCATCCCATCCCATCCCATCCCATCCCATCCCATCCCATCCCATCCCATCCCATCCCATTCCATCCCATCCCATCCCATCCCATCCCATCCTGCCCCACCCCTCTCATCCACAACTCTTGCTGATCCGGGCCCTATGGTAACGTTGAACACAGGCGGTGAATTCTTGCCATCATAGTTCTTTTCCTCTGGTAGCGTTGAACAGCACAGGAGCCACTAACAATCTCAAACCCTACACACTGCCTGCCACCCCATCCCTCAAAACACAACTCACGCTGATCCGGGCCCTATGGTAACGTTGAACACAGGCGGTGAATTCTTGCCATCGTAGTTCTTGTACCAGAAGGCCAGGCGCACCAGGTAACGGCCTGCAGATGATAAAGGGGCAAAGGGAGGAAGGGGTGTGGGGGGGGGGGAGGAGTCCTTGCCATCGTAGTTCTTGTATCAGCAGGTCAAGCGCACCAGATAACGGCCTGCAGAGGGAGGAAAAAGGGGAAAAGAAGACAGAGGAATGGAGGAAAGGAAGGAAGGGGTGTGTGGTGGTACGAACAGGTAGGGGGGGAGAGGTATCTCTCCATCATACTTCGTATACAGCTCCCAAGCAGTTGATGTCCCTGTCGTTATTGAACGCCCTCAGGGACAGCTCCGTTGTCAACCTCACATCTCCCCCCTCCTTTACCCCCATGCGTACATGCATGTACGTCTGTCTACGCAACATAGCTCCCAAACTGAAGCACTCACAAAAAGCACTCACCAGCAGCAGTGAGTGGCACGTGGTAGCAATTGACAACCCTGTCATTATTGAACCCCCTCTCAGAGACAGCTCCGCTATCAGCCTCACAACCTCCCCCCTCGAATGCCCCCCTGTGTACAATGCACATCTATCCAAATATACACCTCCCCAGCAGCAGCAGCAGCAGCAGCACTCACCAGCAGCAGTGAGTGGCACGTGGTAGCAGCACCACCAGCAGCAGCACCACCAACAGCAGCACTCACCAGCAGCAGCACCACCAACAGCAGCACTCACCAGCAGCAGTGAGTGGCACGTGGTAGCAGTTGACGTCCCTGTCGTTATTGAACGCCCTCAGGGACAGCTCCGTGGTCAGCCTCACGTCTCCTGCTTCTGGAGAGATCCCCGTGATGACAGCAGGCGTGCCGGGGACGGTGGGGGGATCGGGCTGCCAGGTGAAGTTGAGGGGAGAGGGGTACGGCCGCCCCTGGTACCCGCAGTCAATGCTTATGAAGCCTGGGCGGGGGAAGGACGGGGAAAGAGCAGGGGCGAAGGCGGGGGAGGGCGCGGGGAAGGGAGAGGGAGGGGGAAAGGGGGTTTACGAGTGTGGGGCACATGGGAGTGAGCCTCACGTTTCCCGCGTCAGGCGAGATGCGGGTGATGACAGCAGGCGTGCCGGGGACAGTGGGGGGGTCGGGCTGCCAGGTGAAGCCGACAGGAGAGGGGTACGGCTGCCCCTGGTACCCGCAGTCAATGCTTATGAAGCCTGGGGGCATAAGGTGGGGTGATGGGGAAAGGTATGGGGCGAGGGAGCGCGGTGATGACAGCAGGCGTGCCGAGGACGGTCGGGAAATCGGGCTGCCAGGTGAAGCCGAGAGGAGAGGGCTACGGCCGCCCCTGGTACCTGCAGTCGATGCTTATGAAGCCTGGGGGGCGCGCAGGGCGGGAGGGCGGGGGAAGGGGCGGGAGGAAGGGTAGGGGGGAAGGCAGGGGGAAGGACGGGGGAGGGTGGAAGGGTGGGGGGATCGGGCTACCAGGTGAAGCCGAGAGGAGAGGGGTACGGCCGCCCCTGGTACCCGCAGTCAATGCTTATGAAGCCTGGGGCGTGGGGAGCGGAGGGCGGGGGGGATATGAGAAGGACGGGGGAGGGCGGAAGGGAGGGGGGAAGGTTGCCAGGCGAAGCCGAGAGGAGAGGGGTACGGCCGCCTCTGGTACCCGCAGTCGATGCTTATGAAGCCTGGGAATCACGCGGGGGGAGGGGAGGAGGACGGGAGGGGATGGCAGGGGGGAGACGGAGGAGGGCGGAAGAGAGGGGGGAAGGCCGTCAGGTGAAGCCGCGAGGAGAAGGGTAGGGCCGCCCCTGGTACCCGCAGTCTATGTGACTTTTGAGTCGACTCAGAAGCCGCGAGGAGAGGGGTACGGCCGCCCCTGGTACCCGCAGTCGATGCTTATGAAGCCTGGGAGGCGCAAGATGGGGAAGGGAGAGGGGGAGGGCAGGGGGGAGGGCAGTTGGAAGGGCAGGGGGAAGGACGGGGGAGGGCGGAAAGGAGGGGCGAAGGCGGTCCCTGTGGAGCATTAATTACGCAGCGTTGACCTTCGACCGTGAACTTGAACGGTCCATCTGACTTGACTCAGAAGTCACCTAATTTGCACCCACCTGCTGTGGAGGAGATGTTTGATGCAGCGTTAACGTCCTGACCCTCGACCCAAACCGGCCATTTCAAGACCAGATGCAAAATAACGGCCACGCTTTGCCAGCTTCAGTTAGTACCCACCTGCTGTGGAGGAAATATTCGATGCGGCGTTGGGATTTTGACCCTGAACCCGGACTGCCCCGAAGGAGGGTAGTGTTACTAGTAGAAGCAGCAGTAGCAACATGCTGACGTGTAACGCGGACGGAACTAGGTCACGCAGCTGTTTCCGTCTCCCTCCCCAGCTTCCGCTACTCCTTGTGATAGCGTGACCCGTAACGAGAGTTGTAACGCGAGATGTAACGCGTTCGCGTTCTGACGCTAATCGACATGTCTTGCGGAACTCATACGCTCTTGAAACGTTGAAATGGTAGACTCCAGCGCCAGGTTGCCTTGATTCCATCCGCTCAAGCAGGCAAGTTCTACAGTAGACCTATAATAAGCGTTATCTACTTCACGAATTTCCACAGTAGTGCGACGATTTTCTGCAAACGGCTAGTGAATCACATAGGTAAGTATGGTAGTGCGTCATCCACCAAGGAAAGATCGCAACGATGCCATGGCGACCACACGAGGGCTTAAAGCAATAACTGAATGCCGTTAAATGAACGCTACAGAGTCAGCTGGTAGCGCCTGCTGCTACGGCCGTCTGCTACGGAGCTCAATTGCTACAGCCTGCTCACTTTGTAAACCGCCTCAGGAGGAGCCGTCAAAACCAGAAATCTATATTCGTCCGTCAGTATTGTGACACCTATATTCCGACTTTCAAGAAAACCTATAATCTTAAGTTATTCACAGCACCCTAAGGATAAGCACGTGTAGGGACGTAGTAGGGACGGAGGACGCGCAAGTGAGGACTGTATCGACCAATGAGGAGCGTCCCGCGATAAGTTACAAACTATGATGCTAGGGTCAAGAAGAGGCCGTCTTGCTTTCTGTTCCAGGCGTGCTGCTGCAATTCACAGGGTATGATCACCGAAGATCTCGCTGCCATGTGCTGTCACCATGCTTCCAGTGTTGGATGAGTGCTATCAAGAGAAGGAAAGCTGGGATGAAAAGAAACCGAGGTATATGTTTCTGTAAACACGAGAAGCCGTTCTGTAACCTACTAAACCAGACGATTTTGTCCGCATTTGCGCTTGTCTTCCAGTCAGCGGAGTTCAGTTGTGTCCGTGAAGATAGACTACTTGATGGTGCGCGCAATGATGGGCGGGATGGACGTCCCAAGCGAACGGCGTAATAACGGTTGCACGACCATCGCTTGAGGGCGAGAAATTTAGCGAAGAGTGGGATGACGGCAAGTAAGGCGGTAACTAAGCCCTAGGCTGTCGTGAGAGTAACAGTCCAATGAGAGCATCCAACAAGATACTGAATTGTGTGTCGGTGGAGGTTTGGCGAAATGGCCGGCGGTTGCGACAATGCTAGCGAAATCCAGAAATCTGCTGGCTCAACCCCTCTGAGTCTTTGGCGGGATGTGTTGGCAGTTTCCGCCATGCGACTCGTCAACACCGCATTTTCGGTGCTACCTTCCTAGCTGCTGCTCTCCACACCGACTCTGCGATGTCGACTCAGCCAGGCGGACATCCTTCCATACAAGAACGCTTCTGTTTTTTACCCTTACATTCCAATAAGCCGTATGGTAATTCTTCAAATCGGCACATGGTTGCATCTAATTTCACAAAGCTAGATGTCATACAGATTTATTATATGTACAAACGTTAAACCAGACTGTCATAACAAAACCTATCCACGCTAATACAATATAAGACCAACTTGGGCATGCCTTTCAAGCATGCCCTAGCAAAAAAACAGCAGAACAGGAGATGAGAAGTGGTTAACACGTCATTACTGTTGTGTTTGCCTCTCAGCAGAACCAAGTAGATCCGCTGTAACAAGGCTGGGTCCAGACATGCCAAACAGGATCGCCTGACCACCACCACCACCATCCACCCTTGGACCAGGACCAGGAGCACCATTAGGTGCAGTGCCTTGAACCCCAGGAGCAGCAGGTGGAGCAGCAGCACGGCCAAGAGTGAGCTGAGCCGGAGTCCCCTGCTGATACACCACCACTTCCCTCTCCCTTTCCATCACCTGGAACAAACAAACAGAGTGCGAATTTCATGAGACCACAGTGCAACTGAAGAGAGACATTATTCACAGATTGAACAAACGGCTCAGAAAGCTACTGGTACACGTGGGAACACGTGGGTACCTGAGGAGGAGCAGGCACTGAAGGCCCAGCAATCGCAGGAGCTTCAACTCTTGTACCATCATCAATGGGGCCTGCAGGGCCGTCGTCGGCAGCAGTGAGGGAGGGGTTGGCGGGGCGGTGGCCCTTGAAGAGGGCGAGGTGGCCGAGCAGCTTGTCCTTGCGGCTGAAGGACGTGCCGCAGGAGCACAGCCAGCGGTCGCGCCCGCAGTGCTTCTCGTGGGTCTTGAGGTCCGCCACCACCGAGAACCGCTTTGCACCGCACTTGGAGCATGCGAGCATCTTGGGGCAGTGGGTGCGGCGGTAGTGGTTCTTCACACACAGCATCGTCTTCAGCGGGAGGAAGCGCTGATGCTGACTGTTGCGCTTGCAGCCAACAAACGGGCAGCTGAAACGTTTCGGGCGCTGGGCAACGTTTGCGAGGTGCTTGTCGGGACGGGCAAGGGCTTCTGGCGTCTTGTACTCGTCGCCATGGCCTCTCATGTGCATGCGGAGGTTGGCGTCTCGCTTGAATCCTGCAAAGGTAACAAACTAGGTCAGAAAGCAGCGGCATAATTAACCAAGGATGTGGAGGCTCGAACAAGAAAAAACGTGGTGCCAAATGGAATCTTCAATCAACCACACGTAGGCGGACGCATACCCTTGCCACAGATTTCGCAGAAGTGGGTGTGCTCCGCCAGCAGTTCCACAGGGTCCATCTCGATCACATCGTAGGAACCTTCTGCAAAGAACGAATAACATATAACCAAGCATAAGAAGCGGCCAGAGTCGAAGACTCAAACGCAGGCAAGTCCTCCAACAAAGACCTCCCAGCATGGAATCCTTTTTTACCTGGTAGCGCGTCGTCGTCGTCGCCGTCAGGTGAGCCTCGCTGCTTGCATCCACTGTCCTCCCGCACATTCTCCTTGCTGCGCTTGCGCGCCAGTTCCGAACCAGAAACACTGCCATTGCCGGGGATAGCAGTGGCACCGGAAGCAACGATTGCCATTCCGGCGCCGTCAAAACCGAGCTTGCGCTTCTGCGTGAGAAGGATAGCTCCGCCGAGCAGCCTGTCCACCGCGCCTTGCTTCGGGAACTGACGCGCCAACGCCGGCGCTTGCGCCTGCGCCTGCGACGCCTGCGCCTGAGGCGGCGGGAGGTGTGCGACTGGCCTTGGTGGAACCGCCGCCTTTGCCTGCTGCGGAGCCGCCATAGTCGGCGCAAAGCCTGGCTGGCTCAGCTGAAGCTTCGCTGCCATGTCATCGGACTCGTCGGGAGCAGGCGGGACGAGCTTGATTACAGATTGCTGACGTGGCGAATGATCGTACGGCGGTGATTGCGTCGCGAGCGTCAGTTGTGCAGCCTGCTGTTGAAGCAGCGAGCCGGAGGCCCCAAGAGACGAGATTAAAAGCTGCTGACGGTTAACAGGAGTCGACGACGCAACCTCCTGTTGCTGCTGCTGCTGCTGCTGCTGCTGCGGCTGCTGCTGCTGCTGCGGCTGCTGCTGCTGCTGCGGCTGCTGCTGCTGCTGCGGCTGCTGCTGCTGCTGCGGCTGCTGCTGCTGCTGCGGCTGCTGCTGCTGCTGCGGCTGCTGCTGCTGCTGCGGCTGCTGCTGTTGCGGCTGCTGCTGTTGCGGAACGGCGTTCTGAGGTAAAACCAGGAGATGTGAAGCGGGATTAGCGGCGGAGTTCACGGGGGTGGTGAACCCCATTTGCTGGACCGCCGCCGCGGGAGGAGCCATTTCGATTTGCGGCGGAAGAACGGGAGGTGCCATCCCCATCTGCGGGAGAATGTTGGAAGCGGCGAGCGCCAGCTGAGAGATGACAGACGCGACGCTGGCGGAGGCAGCGGCTTGCTGCTGCTGGAGCTGCTGCACTTGCGCCGTATCGGACGGCTGCTGCTGCTGCTGCTGCGCCATCAGCGGGATGAGCGCTTGCAACGCGCCAATGTTCTGCGAAAACAAAAGATTGAGCCATAACTCGTTAGTAAATTTTCAGGGAAAACAATAATTTGACAGACGATACGGAATGTATAAAATATGACTCACTTGTTGCAAGAGACTTAATGCGCTCATCAGAGCATGTGGAGAATTGGGTACTCCGCCGGTCGGTCCTGTGACATAGCCATTCTGTGAAGCAGCGGCTTGAGAAACAGGAGCGTGTTGCTGCTGGTGCTGGTGCTGCTGCTGGTGGTGGTGGTGCTGCTGCTGCTGCATCTGCTGTTGATGCTGCTGATGTTGCTGATGCTGATGTTGCTGGTGTTGCTGATGCTGATGTTGATGGTGTTGTTGCTGATGTTGATGCTGTTGATACTGATGCTGATCCTGCGGATGCTGTTGCTGATGATGTTGATGCTGCTCTTGGTGGTGCGGATGCAGTTTCCATCCGCCGCCAGATGTCCCGTCGGTAGGTTGAAGTTGGCCTAGAGACGGGTTGTACGCTGCAGCAGCAGCCATAGGTTGCTGATACGTGCCTAGAGTCAACTGCGAAGCTCCGTGGTCCATGTTACTAAATCTTGGAAACAGAAGGCCTGACTGTGATACGTTCTTTCCACAGGCAAGAGAGCCTTCTAAAAACAATCAGGCAACACCAGATAAGAGATCTTGGCAGGTGAGCAAATGCTTCTTATCTGAGGCTTGATATTGATAATGGGTGTGAGTGAGGAGTGAGAAGAGAGCCTCGATATTGGGTGGGTGCCACTCGGGGAAGCAAGGCTCTGCCTGAAGAGCCAAGCTCTGCCTGGAAAAACCACCACAACCTGGACGTTTCCGCCTAGGGTTTGCTGGCTTCCGCCGATGGGCTCCGCCGATGTGCTCCGCTGATGGATTCTGCTCTGCTAATGAGCTCGGCTGCTGGGCTTCGCTATTCGCCCCGCTCCTTGTTTCCGTTGCTGGGCTCCGCGGGTTGGCTCCCCTGCCGGGCGCATGAGAGCCGGGGGGGTTGGGGGGAGAAGGAGGTGTGGTTGGTTGGTCATTCGGAAGAAAGGCCAGTGGTGGGGGGGAGGAAAGGACCGGAGGTAGGGAGCTCGTTTCTGGGCTGGGGTTTCCTGCCGTGCGCTTATCACTGAGCACGCACGCGCTCCTTGAATGGACAATGCCCTGCCTCCGCCACAGGTAGACTCGAGGCTCGTGATTTTCGAAGTCTCGGCGGTGAGCCACACCTGCTGCGCTTGACAGGACAGGTAAGGGCGGACCAGAGCTGCGGAAGGAAGTGATGGACTTTTTTCCCATGGCTACATGCATTATAGCGAAAACAAAGCTTGGTTCGAGGGAAATCTGCTGATTCGGGCTCTGAGAGAAAACATGGGGTGTGTTAGGACGTGTCTCGGTTCGCCTCTGGTCGCCTGTAATCTGGTCGGGGCTGATCTGATCGGGTTGCCGTTGTTTGAATAGCTCGCGCCGCCCGATCAGTTAAGATTTTCCCCGAAAATTTCGACAAGCGTTTAAACCTCCTGCCACTTTCGGGCCCACTTTGGCGACTGCGAACGCCTCGGCATGGAAATAACGAGTTCAGTGTTTCCCTGCAATTTCGCAAAAACTGGTGCCCTGAAACGCTGCATTTCCAGATTCGCGACGGCGGGGTATTCACGACGAATAAACGAAAATATGTCAAATATTATAACAGTTCGCCAGCGTCGCTTAGTACCGCAATTAAATGCAATCAGGTGATCGTCGGTGATTGTGTGGGATTGTGTTTGATTGGGCTGTTTTAGGCGGTTGATCGTGTTGGGGCGATCAGCTGATCATGATCAAGTGATTGCCCCCGATTGCCTGAAATCGTCTTCATACCTTCCTCGAAGTTATTGATCGCGTCTGATTGAGGCAATCAAAGGCGAACTGAGTGAGACACGTCCTTAGAGGCTCGGGAAGGAGTCCCAAACCACCAAGAAGATTATGGTTGTTGTGACAGAATCGTTGTTCTGGTTCGAGGCACGAGGTTTGGGATTCTCAAGAAAATGACGAACATGTCAAGTTCGACATGCTTATAAGCTCCCGTTATTTTATGGGCAGATAAGCTGCACTCATTACTTCGCACCAAAACTTTGTTCGCCAGTTATCCCAGCCCATGACTTCAACGCATCGCGGTCGATTGGTTGCGGTGGGAAAAGGGAATTTTTCCCTTGTTGCGTTGTAGGGATGGGCTCTTCCTGACCCCTTATCATCTCGTGGATCACACGTAAGGCCATCGGGGGCAGCATTTCTCTCTCTCTGGCCTGGCGAAAGTTGCTGCTGTACAGAACTGTTGCCCCCCGAAGCGACCAGGTGGATTCCCCCAGAAACAACCCAGTCACAGGCATTCCCCCACAACCAGACAGCTAAAACCTCGCAACAAGCCAGAATCACGGCAAAATAACGGTCACTGGTAGTAATTGCGTTTCTTTTAACTGTGTCAACCCATATTACTCCGACCTCGCCACGTGGGCGTTTCCCAAAATTGGATGGACCGCGTTTTCGCGAGCCCCCCGAAACCCTAATTTCCCGCCCTTCACCTACAAATTCGGGCAACTATGCTGAAGTTCCGATATATTACAAACAGTCGCGAATTTCGACATTTTATGGTACCTCCATATTTTCGCCACGCGAGGAACTTCTGATTGGTCGAAAAAATGGAATTGCTCTTGCGCGCCAGAGATACTATATTTTCTGCTGGTTTTAATATCTATATACTAAGCTTATTCTATGAAATAACTGATAATGTTCTATTTACATTTATATATAGTCACCCATAGGCAAATTAAACTTAACCATTTTTATCTTACGTAGATATTTTGCTTGGATATACTGATTCTAATTATTTAGAATAGAAATATCGTTCCTCGCTTACATGTCTAAATCTTAGCGTTACGAAAAAACCATGAAATTGTGACAGTTCGTGATTCCAAGAGGGTGCCCAAATTTCAGTAGGGAAGGGCGGGATAATCGCGCGGAAGAGACGCGCGCAAGCGCGGTCCGATCAATTAAAGGCGGAGTGCAACTTCTTAGGAACAGTGGCGAGACAAACATGGAGTGTGTGTAACGAGACCCTTATTGGATGAAAAAAATGGAATCTCGGAAAAGACAAACTTCTCGCCACATAACTGCCTGGGACAACCAAGTTCCAAGCTATAATGCTTCGAAGTTGAAGCTGATAGTTGGGCCACGGCTTTAAGGGAAACGTCGATGTGGCGAGGTAATAATAATCTGGGCGGAAATCGCATTTCTCTGTCAATTAAATCGACCTGAAATCTCTCCGAATTCGCCGCGTAGACGTTTTTCATAATTGGATGGACCGAGTTTGCCCCCGGCCCCCCAACCCGATTTTCCCTCCCTTCCCCTCCGAAATTAGGGCACCCGCTGGAATATTAAGGAATCACAAACAGTCACGAATACAGGGTCCGCACATCATGCAAAATCCTCCATGTAGTTGTGGCATGCCACATCAGCTTTCACAATAGACTTTTGATGATTTCGGCGGTTGCTTTTCAATCTCTGGAGTCTCCTACGCACGTTTCGTGTATCGTGTTTTTTTTATTAGCCCATGCCATTACATAGGGGCGCAAGGAAACACCTGAAGAATGACCTATAGTTTTTTATGTTTGCTAGTATCTTTACCTAAAGCTAATTTTAGGAGACCTAAAATAATTACTTCAAGTCAAATTATATTCAGCTTTAGTAATACTCACTCTAAGCCAAAATCAAATTTAACTATTTTTGAAATAGATAAATACTTTGTTTGACTTTATTGCTTATATTATTTGGAAATACGATATTATTCTCCTATTATTAGTATTATGAAATATTTGGTTACTTCAAAGGCAAAACAAAATAATAAAATCCATATTACTAACTATTATCTCATTATAATTCATATTCTACTAAGTTGGTATGCTCCATCTATTACTAATTTCAGAATATATCAGGTATGTACTACTGGTTATAGCTTACACGAAAATGAGAAATATAGTAAAGGTACTACAACGGCTGCTGGCACAACCGAACGTGTACGTCGTTCAACATTGAAGAATCAAAACGCCTAGTATTTTGAATTCTTGACTGTTTGTAATTTCACGGGAGTACACGCGGCTGCCCAAATGTCGGAGGGGAAGGGCGGGAAAATCGGGTGGGGGGTCCCGAGGGCAAACGCGGTCCATCCAATTATGAAAAATGCCCACGTGGCGAAGTCGGAGCAATTCAGGTCGATTCAATCGATAGTAATGTGATTTCCGCCGATGCGCGCGATTTCGCCCGAGCCAGCTTATATTTGAAGCCAGCCAGCCAAGAGGTGACGTATCGGCTCTGATAGACACACCACCTGAACAGTCGATTCGATACTGGCATGTGGAAGTTGCCTCGTGTGACCTTTTGAAGGCTGCGATTCGCCAAACCTGAAGCATGTGGAAGACGCTCTACAGATATTACAGATATTTTAGGCTCTACATTGTTGTTCTAAGCCATAAACACAAGCACTACAGAATCTAGGCATCCTCTAAAAAAAATGGATATCTAGCACACCCACACTCTCATTATAAAAATGGAGAGGAAAAGGGATCGGGGTCTGGACAGTGACCTATGCTAAACCATTGCCGAAGGAGCTACGTAGCATATTTGAAACAAGCATACTAAGGCACGTACACACTACCAGCAAATTGAGATTGAAAACGGATAAATGCTAACCACCACCCCAACAACATTTGGAATCAATCCTTCTCATTCCCTCTCCTCACTCTTCTGCACATCTATCACTTGTCCAATGCACAGCTGTACACAAGGTTGCTGTCGGTACAACACCACCTCTACCTCCCTCTCTTCCGTATCGCCTTCGCACTGCGCCAGTGCAGCACCATTCAGGTTCAAATTTGAAGAAAAACAGTCGATGCGTGAACAACGATTGCTACCACCCTCGCTTCCGCTGTGTTTCCCAGTATCCACATTTGTGCTTTGAGAGCTGACAGCAGGGCCAACCTCTCCTGCACCCCCATCCATCCCCTTCTGGACAAGCTGCTTTCCTTTACCGGAAAAAGATACCACCGAAGATGGGAAAGAAGGCGGGGGGGGAGGAGCACCAGTATAGTTCGGGGAGAATGTGTCTGTGCCTTCCAAGAGAGCCGCCTCTGCTGCCTCTGCTGCAATAGCATCAGCGACGGTGGGAGCTGCTGCAGCAGTGAGGGAGGGGTTGGCGGGGCGGTGGCCCTTGAAGAGGGCGAGGTGACCGAGCAGCTTGTCCTTGCGGCTGAAGGACGTGCCGCAGGAGCACAGCCAGCGGTCGTGCCCGCAGTGCTTCTCGTGGGTCTTGAGGTCCGCCACCACCGAGAACCGCTTTGCACCGCACTTGGAGCAGGAGAGCATCTTGGGGCAGTGGGTGCGGCGGTAGTGGTTCTTCACACACAGCATCGTCTTGAGCGGCACGAACGCCCGGTGCTGCTGGTTGCGCTTGCACCCCACAAACGGGCAGCTGAAACGTTTTGGAGGCTGCCCGGTGGCTTCTGGAGAGTGCTTGCCTGGCCTAGCAAGCGCCTCTGGTGTTTTGTATGCATCGCCATGGCCCCTCATGTGCATGCGTAGGTTGGCATCACGCTTGAATCCTGAGAAGGTGCAGTAAAACAAAAGCGGGAGGCGCTATAGAGAAGCTCATACAACGCAGTGCTCTAGCAGAAGCTAAGGTTTGATCTTTCGACAGGAATCCGAAGCTAAACATAGCATACGAAGCTCATTGGAGACACCTTTGCCGGAGAATAGGGCTCGAGGACTGACCTTTGCCGCAGATCTCGCAGAAGTGGGTGTGCTCCGCAAGCAGCTCCACAGGGTCCATCTCGATAATGTCGAACGTTCCCTCCGGAAGCGGCGACTCCTCATCATTCTCCTCGTCCAAACCCGCATCCGCGATAGAAGCACACCCGTTTACACCGCCAGGAACCTTAGCGTTCTGCGCGGGAACTAATTTCTTCGACGCGTGAGACGGTCCGACTTCGGCGTTAGCGGCGTCAAACGCAATTTCCTCGACCTTTCGCTTCTGAGGTAGTAGCGGTTTTCCGAAGAGCTTGGGTTCGGGAGCCGCAACAGCGCATTGCTCAGTTGGCGTTAGCGCTGCTGGTCGCCATGGCTCGTTCACCACCGGCGCTGCTGGTGACTGCGGCTGCGGTTGCGGCTGCAGCTGCTGCGGCGGCTGCTGCTGTTGTTCCGGCTCCTGGGACTGCTGCTGCGGCGGCGGCTGCGGCTGCGGTTGCTGCATCTGTTGCTGAACCACAGGTCGTGGATTTGTACCCACAAAAGCAAAAACCGATAAAGGATTAGACGGCCCCGCGTTGTCAGGCGCCAGAAGCGGGGAGGGCACGAAACCGCTGCATCGCGCAAACGCTGGGTTGATGGGAGGGGAGAGTCCGGCTTGCGGGAGTATGTTCGCAGCTGCGACGGCAAGTTGTGAGATCACGGAGGCGACGCCGACGGATGCTGCAGCCTGCTGCTGCTGGAGTTGATCTGGAGTGGTTGAGATCGGTGGCTGCTGCGACATCAGCGGAATCAGCGACTGCAGCGCGCCGATATTCTGTAACCACGTTACAACAGAATTGAGATGAGTAACTGGGTCGTTAGAAAGAAACTCGCAGGTCGACAAGTACAAGAAATTCCAGCAACATGTGATTCTAGTGATACAAGTAATTCATTATAGTGGAAGATAAAAACAGACGGACCTGCTGTAGAAGGTTCAGCGCGTCCATAAGAGCCTGCGACGACCCAGGCCCAGCAGCATGCGGTGCGGGTAACATCGGCGCAGCGGAAGGGACGGCGGCCAAGGGCGCAGCGGTAGGCGCGGGGAACATCGGAGCGGCGGAAGGCACGGCGAACGATGGGGGAGCTGCAGGAGTGGATGAGGGAGGCTGGGTGGAGGGGGGTGATGCTGCCTGGGTCTGCTGCTGCTGGATTGTCGGCCAGAATGAGTTGTTCCCGGCCGAAGGCTGTGATTGCGTTGGGATAGGTAACGGCTGGAAATGAAACGGTGTCGCCATAGTCTGGATATGACAGCGAGAATTACAACACGAGCTCTCTACGCCTGGTACTTATAATCAAGGCTCACACGAGCCTTTGCCTCTATCTGGTGACGAACAATCGACCTCTAAAGGAGGTTTATGATTTGGAGCAAAACTCTCAAGGTGCAGTCGCTTCCTCTCGAATATCCCTAGAGGCGTGTCGAGATAGAGCCGTCACGCAAGACTGGCTGCGTCCTTCCAGGTAACCCTGACTAACTCAAAGAACCTCCCTCTAACCAGCCTGAGTGACAGTACCTTCCTCACTTCACCAAAGTGCTAGGCTGCTAAGCTAAGGGCGCGTGTCTTTTGAAATTTAGGCCGAAGTTCATGTTTTTTAGTCGAATTTTTGCAATTGAACACAGGTCGACCTGTAGTCGACTATCTCGTCATTTCATTGTCGAGTCGCGTGTTCACCTTGACGTGGAGCACATGGCACAAGAAATGCTCGACTTTCAAAGGTCGAATTTGTACAGTAAAATCCGAGTCGCGCCAAGTTTCGTAGGTTACCCTGTCTATACAGTGATTTTGTTAGCACTTTCAACTCCGGTAACCCGGCGCGACGTGGTTCGTGACCATCGCGAATCTCGCAGCTTCTTCGTGCGTGGGCAGAAGAACACACGATTGGAGAAACGTGCTCGGGGATAGTCGAATGCGAGGTCGACCCTAGTTCAGTGTCCTTCTGTTTCAGCAACTTTGAGCTTGGACACACGTTCGTCGTCAATAGCTCTGTACGAAATTGGCGAAGCTGGTTACCAGCAAAAGTTCGACCTTTTTTTCGAACTTATACACGAAAAGACACGCGCCCTAAGCTGCTGCTGTGGCGGCAAGGTTGGCCATGCTCTTCGGTTGGGGAAGGTTGCGGAAGAGTCAGGCCAACCTTGCCCCGATGGGTTGGGATGGGTTAGGTTTGTTTTTCATTTGTTTGAGATGGTTCGCGATGGGTTGGGATGGGATGGGATGGGTTGGGTTTGGCGGAGGGTATGGGATCATGTGATGGGATTTGGGAGTCATGGCCCTGATGACTCGATAGAACCAAACCCTAGGTTTCTCGGATTTCTCCTCGTGCTTCAGCCTTTTCTGCTCCTGCCCCTGCTGCTGTTGTTGTACAGTAACTTCAACGGCTCTTGTACTGCACTTTACTGCACTGTATCCATTTGTTTCATCCATGATGGTGGCTCTTGCTGATGCTTAGGGACACCGGCAGAAACGAATCATGAGAGGACGATTTCGAGAAAAACCACGAATCAGAGAGCAACGACGCGAACTTTTACGGCTGCGTCTGGTTACCGGGGCAACTAGCGTGTAATCTGGAGGGCCCCGATTTGGTTTGGGCATGTGACAAGCTTTTCGCATTTGGTGCGTCGCATCTCCTGCCCTTCCAACAACCCAGACCCCTACAAAACAGGATTTGGTTTGGGGCAGAAAATTGCGATGGCGGCTGGCTTGTGGAACCTACGTAGGGGCGGAAGGAATGCCCCCTGTTTGAGGGAATGCGCGAACACGCGCGTGCTGGCGGATCCAAACCACGAGCAGCAATTTTTGGACGCTGGCTGGTGAATGGGTTGAATTCCATGATGCACTCAATTCGTAGGATCGTGGCAAGTAAGTGGGTGGCTGTGAATGGAAGTTAGGGCGTGTCCCATGAGTTCATTTGGGGAAAATCTTAATTGTTACGTAGCTTTGACAAAGCAGCGAAGTGAACACTCTGACGGAAAAAAAACGCAGCGCGTCAGCACTGCGCAAACCGAAGTTGCACCTTGCGGACTCATCACCCCGCCCACACAAAATTCGTATCGCGAATCACTTTCGACATGTTTCGCGAAAGGTAACCCGGGCCAATTGCGAATAGACTCTGCCAAAATTGGCCATTCGTCATTTCTGGGCGAATTCTGAGAGTGGAGATTAGGGTTACACAGACCTCTTCGAAGTGATGATTCGTACCTTGGAAGCTGTTTTTGAACGCTATTTATACGAACCTTTTGACGCATTCAGCGCGTCAATGTCGTGCGTCATTGAAGACACATGTCTACAGTAGTCCAATATGAAGGGTTACAATGGCAAAAACAGGGTTACAACGGTCAACATGAACTATAAACGAACTCATGGGACACGCCTTTATTAATCTGTGTTACGAGTGCAATTGAGTTAACGAACGAGAATTGCACTATCGAAGAAACAGTACAATGTGCGAAGGCATGGGCGAAGAATATATAGTGACACCACAGTGGTAACGGTAATGCGTGAAAATAGGGTGCGCGACGGGTCTGGCACCGAGATTGGGAAATGACGAGGCGGAGGTCCGGAGCGCGGGTTACCAACCGAACCGTGGGGTTGGGTCGCGTCGTGAACAGTGGCGGGAAAAATGTCGAGACGAATGTCGCGAGTGGTAACAGATTATTGTTAGGTGCTGTTGGCGGGAACAGTGGTGTACGCCCTGAGTAGGGACGCGAAGTAAGAAAAATGAATTTTCCTTACACTACCCCCCCCCCCCACTTAAGGAGGCCCTCCTTACGAAAGCGCGTGCACGTCCCGGAAATTTCGGCTGCGCAGGTACTCTGTGAGGACGGGGTGGTTCTCAATTCTGTCCAGGGGAACCCAGTTGTCCTCAACGTGCGTTCGGTCTTTCCAACGGATCAAAAATTTGATCAGACGAGCTCCCCGTGGGTCAAGCACTCGGTGGCTCGCAATCTTCCCCGTCGTGATTCTTGGTTCTGTCGGCAATCGTGTCATGCTGTCATGCTTTGGGGTAATGGGCAGGCGGAGGTTCTGGGTGTCGAGTAAAACTAGGTCGTCGGGCTGGTAAGTGATAGGTCGGCGGTGGCGGTCGGCGTTGGGTTCAGCGATGATGTTTGATTTTTTAGTCGCGTCTGCTGTCCGGGTCCGTGCTGCTTGTAAAATTTCGGCGAACTGTTGCGCTCGTGGCACCGGGCTGTCAGGATTTGGGGTCATGGGTACGGTGGGGTCTTGTCCGTAGTTCAGATAAAACGGTGACTGTTGGGTGGTGGCGGATGGCGAGTTGTTGTATGCAAATTCGATGAGTGGCAGCTGCTGTTCCCAGGTGGTCGGGTCGTCGCACATGGCTCGGATGAGTTGCTCCATGGTCCGTCAATCTCAGGTGGTACGAGGAACTAAACTGTAGTCGCGTGCCGAACTGCTGCTACAGGTTCCGCCAGAAGTTGCTGGTGAATTTCATGTCGCGGTCGCTGATGATTGTTGCTGGTATCCCGTGCAGTCGAACGACGGTGGCGATGAAGTGGCGGGCTGTTTCTTCGGCTGTGATCGATTTCTTGCAAGCTGCGAAGTGTGCCATTTTCGTCAACCGATCGACGACGACCAGGATCGCGTCGTTCCCACTTGCTCCGGCCGGTAACCCTGTGACGAAGTCCATCGTCACCAACTGCCAAGCACGCTCTGGGGGTGGTATCGGCTGCAACTGTCCTGCCGGCCGCTTCCGTGATGATTTCATGAGCTGGCAGGTGGGACACGATGCCACGTGTCGCTGCACGTCGGTCAGCATTTCGGGCCAGTAATAATACCGCTGCAGCTGCTGCCGTGTTTTTTCTACTCCGAAGTGGCCTGATATAACTCCGTCACGTGCCTCCTGTAGTAGTAATTCCCGTAGCAGTGTGTACCCTGGTACCCAGATGCGGTCGGTCCCGACTTTTACGTAATAAACTCCTTTTGCTGCTGCGAATTCCCTCCTGTGAAGAACGGGTCTGTTTGGTATCCGTCCGTAAATAGTCCTGTCAGTAGTGGGCTGGTCTGGGCAAGTAGTATTGCGTGGATTTGGGTAGTGGGGCGGGTCAGTGCGTCAGCGATATTGGATGCCCCTTTTCTGTAGGTGACCGTGAAGTAAAAATCGGACTCGAGGAAATCGAGCCAGCGGATCTGTCCTGGGTTGAGGTGCGGATGTGCACGGAGGTACTGTAGCGATTTATGGTCTGTCCGTACTGTCACGTCTGTGCCGGTCAAGTAACAGCGCCACACTTTGAATGCGTGCACGATCGCGAGCATTTCGAGGCCGTGTACCGGGCAATTTTTCTCGGGCGGATGCAGTTTGCGGGACTCGTATGCGATGGGCTGTAACCCGTTGCCGAAATCCTGTAGCAGTACGGCTCCGATGGCGATGTCGCTTGCGTCTGTAACTACTTCGAATGGGCGGTGTGGATCGGCGATGCGCAGTACGGGCGGTGAACAAAGAACATTTTTCAAGGCAGAGAAGGCAGCATTTCTCCTTCTCTTTCTCCCCCCACGTAAAAGCGACCCCTTTCTCAGTAGGTCTGTCAGTGGCGTCGTTAACCGCGCCATGTCGAGGACGAATCGACAAAAAACTCTGCAGTTCAGTGATATTCGTCAGGGGGTGCCACGCTTTTACCGTGTCCAGCTTCTTCGGGTCTATTTCAACTCCAGCCTCCGAAATAACGTGCCCTAAAAACTCTAGCCTGTCCTGAAAAAACTCGCACTTGGAACCGTTGGTGAGCAGTCTGTGCTCGACTAAGATTTGAAATACTGCTTCTGGATTTGTTAAGTGCTGCTGCTTATCGCGACTGTAGACGAGGATGTCGTCGAGGTAAACTATCACGCATTTATCTAAAAGTGGTCTAAACGCCTCGTTCATGGTCATCTGAAATGTCGCCGGTGCCTCGTTCATGGCATCACGGTGTATTTGAACGACCCGTACCTAGTTCTAAAAGCCGTCTTGACGCAGTCTGATGGTTCGACTCGAATCTGATGGTAACCTCTCCGTAAATCTATTATCGAAAAGACCCGTGCTGTTCGCAGTTGGTCTATCAGTTCGTCGACGCAGGGAATGGGTATCGCGACTTGACTGTTACCCTGTTCAGTGCCCTGTAATCGATGCACATGCGGAACCCTCCGTCTTTTTTCGATGTGAATAGTATCAGTGCGGCGAACGCTGACGAGCTCGGTCAGATGAATTTCTTTTCTAACACGTAATCTAACTGCTTCCTCAGTTCGTCGAGCTCGGGTTGCGTCAGTCTGAACTGTCGTTGTACAGTTGGCTGTGCCCCCGAACCTAACTCTATTCCGTGGTCGTGTGCTCGCTGAGGCGGCAGTCCCTCCGGTAAATCGTCGGAAAAAATCCCCGAGTACCGTTTCAATAGTTCCTGTAGTTCGGGCGGTACCGCTGTTTCTTGAAATCGCTCGGCTGCTCTACTTCCTCTACCACTGCATTGTCTACTGCGTACACGTCAGCTCCAGCGGCGATAGCCCGTTTCATTGTGATGGCGTTGACGTGGATCGTTGAAGACTCAGGCGACTGCCAGCGAGGTAGTGTCTGAGATCCCCGATCGATCCTAGGGGGGGGTTACAGGCGCGTTTGCCTGGGGGGTTATGGGCGCACTGACCCGCTACTGAAATAAGCCCTTTTATCCCAGTGGTCTAGTGGTTGGGATTCTGACATGGTATCAGAGCGGTCTCGGGTTCGAATCCCGGTGTATGCACATGTTGGCCGTTGCCACTGTGCTCAGTCCTGGGCCTCCCAGTGTGGGGGGGTGTCAGTAGAGCTACACTGTGAGATCCCCGATCGATCCTAGGGGGGGGTTACAGGCGCGTTTGCCTGGGGGGTTATGGGCGCACTGACCCGCTACTGAAATAAGCCCTTTTATCCCAATGGTCTAGTGGTTGGGATTCTGACAGGTAGTTCTACCTAGTTTCCGCTACTTCGCACAGTGCAGCTACCCGTCGTCCAGTCAATTCACGGGTTATACCGTCGTAGCCAATCACGTCCCAGTAAAATGTCGTGCCCATCCAGTGTCGTCACAAGCTTTTTCTGTGTAAACCCGAAGTTCCCCCCGCAGCGGACTTTTACTCTTTTCACCTTGTCCCGTACGGCCAGCGGCGTGCCGTCAACTAAGCGTGCATCTATCTCCGGTAAACACCGGCTAAGTGTCAGTTGCAGTTTCCGTGCGATCGCGGTATTAACTACTGTGACTTGCTCCTCCGTCTATAAAAATCTTCAATGCTACTCCCTGTATTTTCCCGTGGATCAGTACTGGGCAATCCGTCGCTGTACTCTCCTTATTCGTCCGAGCCCGATCGATGGCGTGAATCGGTACTAAGACTCGGTGAGGGTCGGTGGGGTTGGGTGAGCAGGCAGTCCCTTCAGTAGTTAGCCCGATTCCTACTGATTGCTGGCGTTTCCCTGCCTTGGAGACTCCCTCCCCTGCTCTGCGCGGCGCCTCAGCTCCTCTGGGCACTCACTCTTGCGATGGCCCGCCCTATTGCAAGCAAAGCAGCGCCCCTTAAACGGCGCGGCAGCTGCATTTGTCACAACGGCATATATGGTGGCGTGCTCGATCGGTCCCCGAGGGCGATGCCCGTAGTAGGACCCCGGTCTCGGACGGCGCAGAATGTCGATTTTCTCGGCGAGCGCGAGAATCTCGTTGAGGTTCGAGAGTTCGCGTAGCATGATTTCGTGCGAGATGTCCGGCTTCAGCCCTCCGACGTAACGGTCCACCCGCTCCGCTTCGTGCATGTAGCCGACTTGCTCGCATAATGCGAGAAAACCGCTCGTGTAGTCTTGAACCGATTCGAGCTGCCACCAAGTACGCAGTTTCTGACGCGCCGAAATAGAAGCCGCGATCGGCTCGAAGCGCGCTCGAAGCCCTGCGCACCACGCGTCCCACGTGCTGTACTGGGCGGTTTCGCAGAATGAACTCCATGTGACGGCTGGGCCCGTGGGACTTTCCTCTTGCGACGCTGGCTCGTAGGCGCGTGGCGACGTCAGATGACTCGCCACCAGTCCATGGCGGGGCCCCTCCGCAGCGAGACGGCATATCGGATTTTCGCTGCGTCCGACTCGATGTAGTTCGCGTCGAAAAAGACGTTCATCGTGAAGACCCACAATTGAACCGTCGGACCTCCACGCTGGCTTGGGTCGAAACAGGGCGGGCGCTGCGGCTTGAATGGCATTGGTGACATGATGGCGTGGTCTCCACTTGTCGCCGCAAACTCCACGTGCCGACGGGCTTCGCGAGGCTCCCGCGGGCTTGGCCGGCCCTGTTCCTCTCCATGCCAGGCATAGATTGAGCGGCGCCATCATTGGCTGCGCCTGAGCGCTGTCCCACGCTATCATTTTGTGTCGGTGTGCCTGATGAAATGACGATCGGCTCCTCCGATTGTGCGGGTGCATTTGCAGGTGCGTGTGGTGGTGCTGGAGCATTCACCGTGGATTGCTGATGAGCGGACTCGCGTTCCGCCGTAAGTGTCGCTATTTCGAGCGCCGAGTCTTCGATTTGGCGCATGAGATGGTCGAGTTGCTCCTGCGTCAGTGTCGCGAGAGTGAATTCGGCCATGGCGGAGGTGTCGGGCAAGCTCAGCGAGAGCCTCTGTCGTGGCAGTGCGTGCTTACGAGATAGCACTACGAGCGGCGGTGCTTGTTTCGCTGAGAGACGTCTACCCCCCCCCCCCCCCCCCCCCCCCCCCCCCCCCCCCAAAATTGAGATAGTGGGGAAGCGAAGGTGTGGGTGCGGTCCGAGAAGAGATCGTAGGCTCTGAATACCAAGTGTTACGAGTGCAATTGAGTGAACGAACGAGAATTGCACTATCGAAGCAAGAGTACAATGAGCGAAGGCATGAGCGAAGAATATTTAGTGAAACTACAGTGGTAGCGGTAATGCGTGAAAATGGGGTGCGCGACGGGCCTGATACCGAGGTTGGGAAATGACGAGTCGGAGGTCCGGAGCGCGGGTTACCAACCGAACCGTGAGGTTGGGTCGCATCGTGAACATTGGCGGGAATAGTGTCGAGGCGAATGTCGCGAGTGGTAACGGATTACTGTTGGGTGCTATTGGCAGGAACAGTGGTGTACGTGCTGAGCAGGGACGCGAAGTAAGGAAAAGGAATTTTCCTTACAATCTGATAGTTTCTACTACACCCACAAGGAACATGACTGTGTAACTTGTAAAACCTACAAAGACAACCGTCACATAATACATGAAACCAGGACACAAACATGATTTTCAAGTGAATTCCTTTACCCATTCCCTACTCCTAGAATACCCTTTGCTATCGCACACTCTCCCAATTCCCCGCTACAATACGCTTCGACTCATCGTCGTTCATCACTCCTCGCCTCCCACAACCCAAGCTTCGGTCCAAGAGAGAGCGCTCGGGAGAGGGCTGAGGGGTGGAAATGGCCGGCAAAGAGATGGCAGAGGTTGCCGAAGTGGCAGTGGCGCATGAGAGAAACGAGATCAGGGGTGAGCTGGGGGTGTTGGGGGGGGTGTGGGGGGGGGTAAGGGGGGGGAAAAGGGCAGGGGGTAAGGGTTGAATGGCCGAGGAGTGGAAGTGGCTGGCAAAGAGATGGCAAAGATTGCCGAAGTGGCAGTGGCGCATGAGAGACACAAGATCCGGGGTGAGCTGGGGGGAATGGGAGGATATGGGGCTGGGGGGGAAAAGGGGGCAGGGAGTAAGAGTTAGATGGCAGATGGGTGGAAATGGCCGGCAAAGAGATGGCAGAGATTGCCGAAGTGGCAGTGGCGCATGAGAGACACGAGGTCGGGGGTTAGCTGGGGGGGGATGGGGAATGGGGAATGGGGAAGGGGATGAGGGCACACGTAACGGTTGGGAAGGGTAGAGTAGAACGGATGTTACAGGGGGGTGGAAGTGACCGGCAAAGAGATGGCAGAGTTGCCGAAGTGGCAGTGGCGCATGAGAGACACGAGATCAGAGGTGGGCTGGAGTGCGAGGAAAGGGAAGAAAGGGTAGGGGGAAACAAGGGACAGTGTGCATAAGGGTTGGATAGCGGAGAGGTGGGAGTGGCCGGCAAAGAGATGGCAGAGGTTGCCGAAATGGCAGTGGCGCATGAGAGAAACGAGATCAGAGGTGAGCTGGGGGGAGGGAAAAGGCGGGTGGGGGATTGAAGGGGCAGAGAATAAGGGTTACATGGAAGAAAAGGAAAAAAATTATTGGCAAAGAGACGGCTGTGGTTGCCACAGTGGCAGTGGAGGACAAGTAAGTAGTAAATGTTCGATGGGAAAGAAGTGAAAATGGCTGGAAAAGAGATGGCAGAGATTGCCAACGTGGCAGTGGCGCAAATTTGGGCTGATTGCAGTATACTGAGCGAAAACAAGAGAGACAAAGAGCCTGCCAGTCGAGGTGACTTTGAGTCGACTCAAAGTCACCTCGTGGTGCAGAGTTGGGCTGAATGCAGTAAACAGAGCGAGAACAAGAGGGAGAATAAGCCAACGAGTCTCATCTCACCTCTGAATAGAGCGACAACATGAGGTAGCTCATCTCACCTCTGTTTCATCTCACCTCTGTTTCATCTCACCTCTGTTTCATCTCACCTCTGTAGCGTTGTACACATAAGGATGCCCCGAGTTAGGCTGCGTCCACCAATCCTCAAACACCAAACTCCAATTCGCCAGATCCTCCCCGCTCCCCCGCAACCCAACGCCCCCTCCCCCCGCCGCCTCCCCCCACGCACTCCGCCTCCCCCCTCCCCCCATCCCCCCCCCTTCCCCTATCCCCGCCCAAAGCTCGTCCACAAAAGGGCCGAAGTCCCCCACAGGGGGAAGGTCTACGAGAATGGGGACGATGGAGGGGAGGTAGTGCTCTGAGGGGAAGCAGGCCGGGAAGACCCCTCGCACCGGCACACAGCAGGCCGCGAATTTGTCATAAAACTTGCTGTCTGATATTACCTGGTGGTTGGTGGGGGGGCATGGGGGAGGGAGTGTGGGGTGGGAGGGAGGGAGGCACAACGGAACTCAGAAATGTGACTCAGAAGAGCAGGTCTCGGAAGGTCGACAGGGATGGGGACGATGGAGAAAAGGCAGTGCTCCGAGGGGAAGCAGGCCGGGAAGACCCCTCGCACCGGCACACAGCAGGCCGCGAATTTGTCATAAAACTTGCTGTCTGATATTACCTGGTGGTTGACAAGGGGAAGAGGGAAGAGGGGAGCAAGAAGAGGGGTTCAGAAGTAGGTCGAATCCCCCACAGGGGGAAGGTTTACGAGGATGGGGACGATGGAGGGGAGGTAGTGCTCGAGGGGAAACAGGCCGGGAAGACCCCTCGCACCGGCACACAGCAGGCCGCGAATTTGTCATAAAACTTGCTGTCTGATATGACCTGGAGGATGGTGAGGGGGTGTATGGAGTGGGAGGGGGAAACGGAGGTTTGAGGGAATCCCAGAGAAACTTCACGCACGCCACTAATTTTTTAGTCGACTCAAAAGTCACCTCGTTTCGTTACAATGGCACACAACACATTTTTGAGCTAACTCAGAAGGTTTGAGGGAATCTCAGAGAAACTCCACGCACGCCACTGTCCACACACACTCTTGACATACTCTTTCCACACAATCTCTTTCACATCCTCTTCACACACTCTCTTTCACATTCTCTCCACATACTCTCTTCTCTTCACACACTCTCTTTCACATGCACTTCACACACTCTCTTTCACATGCACTTCACACACTCTCTTTCACATGCACTTCACACACTCTCTTTCACATGCACTTCACACACTCTCTTTCGCAATCTCTTCACACACTCTCTTCACACACTCTCTTCACACATTCTCTTCACACCTGCACGGCAAGCCCTCGTGTGAGACCAATCACACCCCCCTCTTCCTCCACTGCTCTGCACTCAACATAGGCTCAAAGCAGTGGGGGGGATTTTGCACGCCTGCATGCTCACACACGCATTTCACTCTCACTCTTCACACGTGCAGGAACCATTTTCACACACACCTGCACGGCAAGCCTCCGAGTGAGTCCAATCCACGCCCCTCCCTTCCTCCACTGCTCCACACTCAGCATCGGCTCAAAGCAATTGGGGTTGAAACGATCCCTCCCGCCCTCCCCTGACACGTCGTTCGACGGGATGTAACTACGCGGCGCAGATGGAACCGTACCGGCGAGATGTAACCCAGAGGAAGTCAGTGACTTGGGTTGAAACAAGGTGGAGGGAGAGGAGAGGGCGGCGGAGTGATGAGGAGAGATGAGGTACGAGTAGACGAATGTGAAGTTATGGATAGGGATGCAGAGCTCGCATATAGTCACGAACCGCTCGTTAGAAAAGTCCAAAAGCGCGTTCGCTAGCAGACGACGCATGCCGTCCACTGTGCTCATGTGTACAGTCTTCGAATCGGCCGAAGCGGGCTCGCCAGGGGACCTGTTCGGCACGAATCTACCCCGGAAAATAGGGGGAAATAACGATTTATCTATCTTCGTCTCGTCAGTTAACACATAGACTGACACTCGGTCCTCATGCCCCTCTAACCATCTGGCCCACAGCGGGGCAAACGGCATCGTTCCCGCGCTGTAAAACAGTAGCGCTACTTTCGCAGGCCCTATACTGCGCCTTCCCCCTCCGCCCGCGCCTCCGCCTTCCCCCTCCGCTCCAACGCCCGCGCCAGCTCCGCGCGGGCGGGTGCGGCGGCGCAGGGGGACCATGGATGCGCGCCAGAAGAGCTCCTCGTCCCCCATGTCGTGCGTCAGCGGGAGGAAACGGACAGGAAGCTTCGCGGGAGTCGCGCTCTCGTGCTCCGCGTCGTCCGCGGCCACGTCAGCATCGGAACCGTCGTCGTCAGCAGCGGCCGCTGCTGCAGCAGCTGTTAGGTGGCCACTGTTGCTGCCTGCGGTACGAGGCTTTTCCTCCAAAAGCTTCGCCCAGTTAGAGGCTTCGTTATTGTCATCATCGTTATGGAAATTGTCATTTCCGCCCCCTTTCCCGCCATCCGTGTCCAGCCCGCTTTCTGCGATTTCGTCACCAGAACCAGTCACCCGCCGCGGACCAGCGACGACAGCGCTTCCGTCGCCGGAGTCACCTGATTGGTCGGCGGCTCCTGAAGTTCCTGCGACGCTACTTGTGCCTCTCAGGAGAGAATCTGGTGAGGAGAAACCCAACGACGTTGACGGTGACGTTAACTGAACCTGCCGGCCTGAGTCTGTTACTAACCCGCGACTAGTTCTAATGTCATGGCTGTCGTTGATTTCGTTATCCGCACCAGCAGCGGCGCGGGACACCGTTCGGCGGAAAATGACGGATACGAAGAAAAGCGCGGCGCATGTTGTGACTATAGCAATGGTAGACAACGGCACGCGCCGCCGCTTCTGCTGGCGGATCGACCGCGCAGCGGACTTAGTACCGGGTGGCTTCATGACGACATGGCCTCCGTCCAACTTGCCTGAAAGAACGAAATTGCGGGAAAAAAAAAGAAGAAGCTTGAATTGCGTCACGCTTGAAATTGAACAGAAACTGGCGAGTCCCTGCCAGGCGTGAACCCGCTTGTTCGCAGTGGTTTCAAGGAACGTATGCTAGTGGTTCTCCGAAGAAAGGAGTAACTGGGTGAAGAGTAGCCTCCAGTCAGATCGCCTTCCCGGCAGAGCAATCCCAAGAGAAGGCCAGCAACGGGATCATCGAGTCGGCTTGCCTGCCATTCAAACTTTCGAGTCCATGAAGAGCGACAATAGAAAGCGCTAGTCGTACGGAAGTGTAGGTGTAGCAGCTGCAACGCCGCATTCTCTAGTCCCACTAACGCGTACACAGTGCTAGGGTGTGCTGCCATCGATGATTCGTGGCTGTGGGATTGGTCAAGGCAGTGTGCCTTTCGAAGTCCGCCTGGATCTCCTGGCTTCGCGGGGAGCAGAGATGAGAGTCTCACCTCCCTTAGCGGAACCGCTGTGTGGCTGTAACGCGGGGTCGCACACTCGCGGCACACGTCCATCCGCTAGGAGCAAAGAGTGGACGATGTGCTGGAAGGATGAAGCACCAATTGCTACAGTGCAATATGATAGACATCAATTGCACCTAAATCTTACACCATTAGAAGTTCCCATACATAGCAGTACAGCATGTATCAAGTTAGAAGAGGTAAGTCTACATCATCCAGAGCTTAAGACGCTCTGGTAAAAAAGGATACACTAACACAGGCAGACATCCACACAAAAATCAAAGCTGTTAACCGGCCATAATTTCATAGGCATATCACATGAAGATTGTCTGAAAACGACACTCTCCGCTTCAATGATCCCGCTGGATTCGCTGTAGAGCAGCCAGCATCAGCTCGGCACTGACGTTGCACCCCAAAGCCGTCCATTGAGGCTCGACGGCCGTCAATCGAAGGGGAGTGCTTGAGAGCACTCCGGAGCGGCGATGACAAAGGAGTTCCCAAATATGACGCATAAAGAGGGGATAGCGGGGGTGGCAAAAACTGGGGTGATGACTGTAATGGGATAAACACTTGTAGATTTGCGAGCGGTGGCATCTGTTGGGGATTGTAGCAGGCCTGGATGTCTGACATGCTGGAATCAGCCGACAGAGACCTGAAAGAAAAAGCTGCGTTGGAATGAGCAGCGTGCGCTGCAGCCCTTATTGAGGAGTCTTGTAGCGATGAAATTGTGTGCTGTCCTTGGGGCGAAAGTGGCGGCAAGCCAAATCCGGCCGGTCGATCTGATTGGCTGGAGCTTGCGGAGTGCGAGCGAGCGGAAAATGGGCCAAGAGGGGGTTGTGACTGTAACGGGAACGCTGTGCTGCTGGGTGAAGGTGGCACAATCGAGAGAGCAACGGAAGCAGGCTTGCCGTTGGAAAAACCACCGGCACCAGCAGCAATGGTAGCAGCGACAGCAGCAGCAACAGCAGCACCAGCGCCGGAAGCAGCAGTTGCAGGAACAGAAGTAGCAGGAGCGCCAGGACCAGGACAGGGAACATTTCTCGCCACGCCCTTACCACCGCTCCAGCTTTGGCTGCGGGATACGCCCCTACCGGCCTCTGTCTCACCGCCGCAGCTTGCGACTCCAGCAGCAACACCACCACGACTGTCACCGCCAGTGAAGCTCTGCCTCCGGTAATCACCGCTGCTGCTGCTGCTGCTGCTGCTGCTGCTGCTGCTGCTGCTGCTGCTGCTGCTGCTGCTGCTGGCACGCGGGGTGACTACCACTCCGGCAGCAACACCGCCACGACTGTCACCGCTAGTGAAGCTCTGCCGCCGGTAATCACCGCTGCAGCTGCTGCCACGCAAGGCGACTACCGCTCCGGATGCCGAATGCGGTGAGATGGAGTGCGGTGACGCAGGGGTCGATGAGATGCAGTGCGGTGACGGGAGGTGTGGTGCGGTGCCGGGGCGATGGGGCAGGTGGCGCCAGTTGACGAACCCCACGCGACTGCTCAACCTGACCACAGCAATGGGACTCGTCACTGTCGATCCCCCACTGGGCGCAAAGGCCCTGGTAGCGCTTCCTGTGGTGGTGCTGTTGCTGCTGATGCTGTGGCTGCTGCTGCTGCTGCTGTTGCTCGTAGCAGGGGTGGTTAGTAGTGGACCAGTCGGAGTGGACGGAGCAGTAGCGCCCCGGGTGCTAGTACCAAAGCGCCTCAGGCTATAGCGAGTACAGGCAGCACAGGGAGCCGCACCGAAGGGAGTAACAAGGGAGAGCAGCCCCCCGCGCGCAAACTCCGCGAGCTGCGCCGCAGCTGCCTGTGGTGCTGCGAGCTGCCGCGCAGCAGCGTGTGCCTCCGCGGCTGGTTTGTGAAGAAGATTCTGCCGCTTGCGGCGCTGAGGCTTTTGCGAGATGGCGCCACGTGGATAGTCCGCGTGACGAGCCGCCGCATCCGCCGGCGAGATCTGCTGCGCACCGAGCGGTGGGGAGGGGGGGGCGATCGTGAGTGAAGAGAGTGGGCTGCGCGAAGGCTTGTCATACGCGGCGCCAGCAGACGCCGCTCGCGGAAACGCCGCGGCTGCCAGCGATGCAGCTGCCGCTGCTGCGAAGTAAGACTGCAACGCCGCGTCGTTCGCATGATTGGCGCTCCCGTCGGCGACGGAGAGGGGAGCGGATGACGCGGAGGACGACTTTCGGAACTGTCGCCCGTGCGACGACCATGCGATCGTTGGCGACGTCGCCGTCGTCACAATTGCTGGTACTACCGTCGCCTGCCACGGCGTCTCGAAGGAGAAATGATCGTCATTCGCGCCGTCAATGCCGCAGCGACCGTCCAAATCAGCTACGTCAACTACATCATCGACGGCGCCGCCGCCGTGATCGTCAACTTGAAGGGACACGTCAAGGCGCAGCGAACCGCACTTCAGTTTTCGTCGCGTCGCCAACGTTCCCGCGCGAACTAGAACGACGGGGGCCTCACAAGCGGCGCCTTCAGCGGCGGTTTTCGCGGCGGCGGGGGATTGAGGTGTGGCGTCACTGCTGACGGCGACAGCAGCGGAAAAAGCCGCATGGAGGATTGCCTTCAGCGAATCGTTGGCGTCACTGTCGCGCAGCGAAGAGTCGCGCGAGTAGGACGTCGCGACAGCAGCCACGTGTCGTGCCGCGCAGGACGCCATGCTTTCGATTATCCCGCGTCTGAAGAGATCACGACTCCGAACCGCGCCAGCGGGCCTGATTTGCTGTAAGGGAAAAGGGGGAAAGGGGGTGTGCCCTGATACCTAAGTAATACTATAGGTCAGGTTTCGAGAAGCCTTTCGTAGAATTAAGCGGCCGAAATTTTGCTTCTGCACGAAGGTCACTGAGCGTTCTGGAGCTGGGATGAAGTTGAAGTAATGAAAAAAGGATTCGGGATGAATGCAACTGAATCTGCAAATCACTTGGATGGACGAATTGACATGACCTGTTGCGGCTCTGTGCGGGGTTTAGGACCTGTTGGCGGCGTTCCGAGGTTTCAACACCATCAGTCCCAGCTAGTCCCAGACAGTAGTATGCACGCACTTCGCTGCCGCAGGTCCGACCTGCAGTTGAGAACGGCCAATGAGTCATTGCAGTGGTGGGGATGAGTGACTATGGAAGATCGAAGCGCGTAAAGCGTTTCCTTGCCAGCTCTCAAGTGTGCGACGGTCGCGTCTCTAATTTCCAACCGTTTAACACTTGGTTGGGTTTGCAAGGGTTTGATTGGGTAACGAAAGTCGAAATATTTGACGAGTGGGCGAAAAAAACACAGCGAACTCCAAAAGATCGAGGCCAAAACAAACCAGGGTGGGTTGGTTTGGGGGGAAACCGAGGCAAGGGTGACAGGTTTGGTCCTGGGTTCTGTCAACGTTCAGTTCAGAGTCTCATTTTCGGCAGTTGTAAACACGGTGTGTGCACGGGGAAGTGTGCGACAGCCAACTTTCCCAACCACCCCTTGCTTTGGTGTGCTTCGCGACAAACTCTGCTGTTACCGGATTCCAACCGTTTAACACTTGGTTGGATGGCAGAAATATGAGACGCGAGCTTTAATCGATACTGTACACCAAGTTGTGAGCCAGAGGTTTCAGGGTGGTGAAGGGAACGAGAGCCCGAATTGTGTGGATACAATTAGGGCGTTAGGGTTGCGGCTCGAATAGGATCTTCGGGTGGGATATTGAAGGAGAGTTATTGCTGAGTTATTTGCTAACAAAATACGAACCGAAGAGGAAACGTCTAGCCCGCTGGTAGTCTAAACAAAATTGAATCTCTGTCATCGACGTGCCGCATTGGAGGGCTCTTCGAGCCTGGGTTTAGGGCCAAACCGTTGCAATGTGGTGGAAGTGTGGTCAAGTCGAGTTGAGAATTCATCGAGCTACACAGTAAATACTGATCTGGTGAGGCCTGAACCGTATCGTAGAGGACAGGTGACGAGTTACAGTGCAATCATGCGATCCGACCCTGTGGGTCGGATTTGGATGTGCTGTACAGATTGCTTTTGGAGTTGCTGGCAAACAAAACTGTTCGCTTAGCTAATGAGCGGAAGCCCGTCCACATTTTTTACACGACAGGTGGGAAGGTAAGCAGCCAGCAGCCATACTTGTGTACACCTAGTCCGCGGTATTTTAACCGCCGCTATCTTAACCACGCTAGGGTACTTCTCCTTTATCAAACTTATTTAGTCGGGTTGTTTCAAACTTTACGAGGGTAGAATCTAGCATTCCCTTCGCGAGATGACGGCAGAAAAAACTCAGTGAATGCCGAGTGTGACAGATGTCAATCCGTCTATATTGGAGCACTAAGTGTGAGTTCCTTAGACGGAAGTGCTTTCGGCTGCATAATCATAGTCTCGATGACTCTGGGTGCTAATAACATTACCCAGAAACGAACAAAGGGGGTTTGAAAGAACAAAGTTCACCTGGTTAAAATACCGCGGACTAGGTGTAGTAGGGCGCATTCTTTTTGGAAATTTAGGTTCGATTGCACTTCATTCTTTTGTGCAGCCCCACCAAAGTATAGCCGAGTCGACCTAGGGTGTCCGAACCTGGGGTCACTACCTTCCAGATGCAACTTGACTTGGTTAACAGTTTTGACAGCTGCCCGAACAGCCCAAGTCGCAACAGTCAGAACCACGTAGTCAACCGATAAAACAAACTTACACAGTGCGCAATTCAATTGATTCTAGCAAAATCAGATACAGTCGATGCCCATTTCAAGAACACCAGGTAGGCGGGCGGCATGTGCATGAAACGAGTTTGAGATATTTCGCCACGTTCGCCCTTGTCGCCACGGGCAAAAATGTGACTGTAATATGAAATTGCAACGTGAATCGAGTCAAAGGATTTAATTTCGTAACCGGGTTAACTTCTCTGATGACGAGCAACCGTTGTTGTTTATGAACTGTAGATGTTTTTCTTCCTCAACTTGGTGACTGTACCCTGAAATCGGCACAATGGTCAATTTAGTCACTCACGGGCAAAACGTTCGCGAATGACTAAATTTCTAATTGTGAGGAGCAAATGTTTTGTAATAGGCTGAGCATCGACTGTACGAGAAATTGTTTCATAAAATTCCAGAATAGCACGTGGTGAACTTCGGAAAACTGACTGTTGGGTATTTGAAAGATGAAAAATTCAGATCCCAGTGTACCCTCGAACACAAACGCGTTTCAAAAAACAATAATCAGCTGTTTTACGGGAAGACTGTACACCAAACGTTTTAGGGTACGAATGTTTTTACACAATTTCTGCCCGAAATTTTTACACCTTCAAAGTGGCATTGGGGGGGCTGTCGTTGGTGCAGCCAGCGGAAACCAAGTATTTTTTGCCCGTGAAATATTGTTGCTTGACCAGTGGGTAACGGTGTTTGGACCGCGGTCCGCAACGAAAATTACCGCACCAGATTCGTAGGTGTGCTGAACGTACTTGAGGTTCTGGTTTGGGTCCGCCTAACCTCTCGTGAGGTTTAAAGCCCTCGTTTGCAGCAGCCGAGCCTTTCCCGAGTCACGCAATACTTTGATAGGACTTTGGTTTGTCAGAACTTATATTTGTAACTGCCTGTAGCTGTAGTTAGTGTAGTTATTATAAACTTTTGGTGGTGCACCTTATTTGTTTCCTTTGCTATATGTTCTTCGAAACCTATAGTGAAACCATCCTTTCCAACTTTCTCGCCTCTCACCCTAGGCACAAACTACTCGACATCCTAGTTGGGCCTAGGCTCCTAAGCCTAGGCCCTAGTTAAACTTGATCTCCTTCCTACTATTTTCTCATGCTATCAGAGCGAGTTACGTCCTGGCCTGTGGGCCCGCCTCATGCTTCCGCTGCTACGTTTTTCCGGTCGCGCGCCTAGGGCGCGTGGCGATTTTCTATTGTCCCGCCCCCGGTTGGCGAGTGACTCCTACTCTGCCCGTCGCGCGCCCCGTGGCACGCGACGGTGCCCTAAACCTGCCCGTCGTGCGCCCCGTGGCACGCGACGGTGCCCTGCTCGTCGTGCGCCCCGAGGCACACGACGGTGCCCTTACCTTAAACTTACCTGTCGTGCGCCCCGTGGCACACGACGCGCCTCTCCGCACCTGCTCTCACTGCAGCCGCCCCTGACCTACCTGCGCCGACACATTGTAGCCGCTCTGCGGCTTTCTTCCCGCCCACCCCCTCCTCCTTTGTCTCCCTGCAGCCGTGGGGGGGAGGGTATGGGGGTGGCGGGTGTTGGAGCGTTGGGTCGTATCCTTCCCTTCCTCTCCTCCTCCTTTCGTTCCCACTGCTGCAGCTGCCGCTGGGGGGGAGGGTGTGAGGGTGTGGGGGAGACGGGGGAGTGGCACCGGGGTGGCGGGTGTGAGGCAACCAGCAGCCGTCCCTCCACCTCTCCTCTCTTCCCCCCCCTCTCTGCTGCTCCTGCAGCAGTGTGGGGGAAGGGAAGGAGGAGGGTGAGGAGATGGAGGGGGTGACCAGCTAGTGTTAGCCCGCCTGCAGTACCTGCTGTTGCTTGTTTATTATTTTGCATGTGTACCCCTGCAGGTTGTATTCTGCACAAACTCCTGATGCAGGCAGTTATGGGGGAGTGTCAGAACTTATATTTGTAACTGCCTGTAGCTGTAGTTAGTGTAGTTATTATAAACTTTGTTTGGTGGTGCACCTTATTTGTTTCCTTTGCTATATGTTCTTCGAAACCTATAGTGAAACCATCCTTTCCAACTTTTTCGCCTCTCACCCTAGGCACAAACTACTCGACATCCTAGTTGGGCCTAGGCTCCTAAGCCTAGGCCCTAGTTAAACTTGATCTCCTTCCTACTATTTTCTCATGGTTACCCCTGGACTTCAGAGCTATCAAACAAGGCCTTAGTGGAATCGCAAACTTTTCGCTTTTCAGCTTGAAACTTTTCTGCCCAACCTTGTCCTCATCCAGACAAACACGAAGACCCAACCAAGGCCTCTCCCCACAGGCCAAGCCATTGGTAGGGGCAAACACTAGAGCATTTTACACATATTTGGGTTCAACACATTACAAATCGGTTTGGTAAGATAGCCGTCTGAACAACAGACCCAGAAAATTCCGCGTTGGGTGTACGACGCTCCGAAGTGTGACAAAATCAAAGGCGAAACGTACGGGGGGTCAGAACTGAAGTGTAGCAGTAGGTGGGTCGCATGCCATGATCCCACTAACGCGTACAAGTTGTTACGGTGTGCGTTGTTACGAGTGCAATTGAGTGAACGAACGAGAATTGCACTATCGAAGCAAGAGTACACTGAGCGAAGGCATGAGCGAAGAATACATAGCGAAACTACAGTGGTAACGGTAATGGACTGTGGTTGTCGCGCGACGGGCCTGGGACTGAGGTTGGGAAAAGTGTCGAAGCGGAGGCCCGGAGCGCGGGTTACCCGCCGAGCCGTGAGGTCGGGATGAGACGTGTGAAGGTGGCGGGCAGATTGTCGATGCGAGGGTTGCGAGTGGTAACGGTGCTGACTGTGGTGCTACAGTGATGTACGCGTTGAGCAGGGATGCGAAGTAAGGAAAAGGAATTTTCCTTACACTACCCCCACCTTAAGGAGGTCCTCCTTACGAAAGTGCGTGTACATCCCTGAAATTTCGGCTGCGCAGATACTCGGTGAGGACGGGGTGGTTTTCGATTCTGTCCAGGGGAACCCAATTGTCTTCGGTGGGTGTACGG